CTAGGCTACCTAGACCTTATCAATCCAAAATTATTGATTGGAATTAATTAATCAATCAACACAATAATGATGACATACTGTGTGAGTAACTTTTTAATTACAGATGCAAAGGCCTAGTTGATGCAACCCTACTTAAAGCAAAATAGGCCTATTTTTTTGTGTTCAGAGAAAATGTGAATGTGATCAAATTTGTTCTATATTCTAACTTTGGGTGGCTAGGCTACCTAGACCTTATCAATCCAAAATTATTGATTGGAATTAATTAATCAATCAACACAATAATGATGACATACTGTGTGAGTAACTTTTTAATTACAGATGCAAAGGCCTAGTTGATGCAACCCTACTTAAAGCAAACTCTATAGTTCTATTGTCCAATCGCAGTTGTTCTTTTTTTTTCTTTTTTTTTAAACCATATGACCTGATTAGAAAAACTCTGGTCCCATCATAGCCCATATAAAACCGTTTTACAGCTGATTTATTACTATGTCATACTCTCCAACTAGGGTCCAGAGTTTTACCTGGTTGGGTTAGCCCAGTGGTTCTCTAACTTCTCCTCGGGGACCCCCAGACGTTTCACAATTTAGTTTTAGCCCTGAACTACTTCACCTGATTCACCTAATCAAGGGTTAGTTGACCAGTTGAATCAGGTATGCTAGTTTTGGAATATATCAAATACATGAACTGGCTGGGGGTCCCAGAAGAGAGGTTTGAGAACCACTGGGTTAGCCTACCAGATCAGGAAAAACTCTGGGTCCCAGGAAAACGTACGTATCTCAAAATGTTTACTTACGTATCTCAAAATTTCGACTTAGTGTCTAGATATTTTTAGACAGTATCTCGAAATTTTGATTTACGTATATCGACATTTTTAGATAGTATCTCGAAATGTTTTGATAGTATCATTTTTTTTTATTATTATTGCCGGGAATGGGCTTCCATACCTTTGAGTATCAATTATAGACCATGGGCTACTAGATATTGTGAAGCCTTGGATACTGAAATCATTTATACATTCTTAAGTAGGCCTATGTGTCACTTTTTAATGAAGATATAGTTCCTCTGTGTTATAGAAGCCTTGCTTGCCAGGCTTATGTTTCATTTGTACTATGGTGAATAGTGCCACCATGTGCCCATTAAGTGTTGCATCACCCTCCCTGAGACCAAAATTAACTTGTGCTTCTGACATTCACAGAAGTCTGTTTACTTTCTCCATCTGAGAGCTGGCTCGCTTACTTTCTTGCACTGTCGCTGCAACGCTAACACTTTTTTTAAAGGAGGCAATTTTTTTGTAAAGCTAACGGTACGTGTTTTCTCACCTCCCTTGAAGAGTCAGTATAAGCATCTGGTAAATGACTGATGTACAATTCCACTGAAGAATGATTTTGTAATATTGTTAGGGCTGGTTTCTCGGACACAGGTTAAGCCTAGTCCTAGACTAAAAACATGTTCAATGGAGAACCTTCATTGAACATGCTTTTTAGTCTAGGGCTACAATTTAGAAAAATAGTTTATATCTATGTCCCCATAGGAGAACCCTTTCCACAGAGAGTTCTATATGGAACCCAAAACGGTTCTACCTAGTGTGGTGGATATTATAAAATAAGGATTTGCTGGAGTCCAAGTCAAACTAAGATTCTTTATTTTTCTGAGCTCAGGAGAATAGCAGTTACACAGTGCAGTGCAGACAGTCTGATTTCTGAAGCATTGGGTGATAAGCACATCTTTATAGTTCCTGTCCTTGGGCAGAACTTTGTTCTGTTTTCATCTATACAAGGATACAGGTATAGCTGGTTTGCAACACAGGATTATACTCCCAAGAACAGGAGATGATAATAGGACTGTTTCACACAGTTTGACAAGGTTAGTCACATACTCTACTCCTGAGTGGCGCAGTGGTCTAAGGCACTGCATCGCAGTGCTAACTGTGCCACTAGAGATCCTGGTTCGAATCCAGGCTCTGTCGCAACCGGCCGCGACCGGGAGACTCATGGGCGGCGCACAAGTTTGCAACGCCAGGGTTGTGGGTTCGATTCCCACGGGGGGCCAGTATAAAAAAATATGTATTCACTAACTAACTGTAAGTCGCTCTGGATAAGAGCGTCATGTAAATGTAATACTCAGTTATGTGTACACATACAATTAAAATGTCCCATTACACTAGAACCAAACAGAGTTACAGTGGGGCAAAAAAGTATTTAGTCAGCCACCAATTGTGCAAGTTCTCCCACTTAAAAGGATGAGAGAGGCCTGTAATTTTCATCATAGGTACATGTCAACTATGACAGAAAAAATGAGGGGAAAAAATCCAGAAAATCACATTGTAGGATTTTTTATGAATTTATTTGCAAATTATGGTGGAAAATAAGTATTTGGTCAATAACAAAAGTTTCTCAATACTTTGTTATATACCCCTTGTTGGCAATGACACAGGTCAAACGTTTTCTGTAAGTCTTCACAAGGTTTTCACACACTGTTGCTGGTATTTTGGCCCATTCCTCCATGCAGATCTCCTCTAGAGCAGTGATGTTTTGGGGCTGTCGCTGGGCAACACGGACTTTCAACTCCCTCCAAAGATTTTCTATGGGGTTGAGATCTGGAGACTGGCTAGGCCACTCCAGGACCTTGAAATGCTTCTTACGAAGCCACTCCTTCGTTGCCCGGGGGGTGTGTTTGGGATCATTGTCATGCTAAAAGACCCAGCCACGTTTAATCTTCAATGCCCTTGCTGATGGAAGGAGGTTTTCACTCAAAATCTCACGATACATGGCCCCATTCATTCTTTCCTTTACACGGATCAGTCGTCCTGGTCCCTTTGCAGAAAAACAGCCCCAAAGCATGAAGTTTCCACCCCCATGCTTCACAGTAGGTATGGTGTTCTTTGGATGCAACTCAGCATTCTTTGTCCTCCAAACACGATGAGTTGAGTTTTTACCAAAAAGTTATATTTTGGTTTCATCTGACCATATGACATTCTCCCAATCCTCTTCTGGATCATCCAAATGCACTCTAGCAAACTTCAGACGGGCCTGGACATGTACTGGCTTAAGCAGGGGGACACGTCTGGCAATGCAGGATTTGAGTCCCTGGCGGAGTAGTGTGTTACTGATGTTAGGCTTTGTTACTTTGGTCCCAGCTCTCTGCAGGTCATTCACTAGGTCCCCCCGTGTGGTTCTGGGATTTTTGCTCACCGTTCTTGTGATCATTTTGACCCCACGGGGTGAGATCTTGCGTGGAGCCCCAGATCGAGGGAGATTATCAGTGGTCTTGTATGTCTTCCATTTCCTAATAATTGCTCCCACAGTTGATTTCTTCAAACCAAGCTGCTTACCTATTGCAGATTCAGTCTTCCCAGCCTGGTGCAGGTCTACAATTTTGTTTCTGGTGTCCTTTGACAGCTCTTTGGTCTTGACCATAGTGGAGTTTGGAGTGTGACTGTTTGAGGTTGTGGACAGGTGTCTTTTATACTGATAACAAGTTCAAACAGGTGCCATTAATACAGGTAACGAGTGGAGGACAGAGGAGCCTCTTAAAGAAGAAGTTACAGGTCTGTGAGAGCCAGAAATCTTGCTTGTTTGTAGGTGACCAAATACTTATTTTCCACCATAATTTGCAAATAAATTCATAAAAAATCCTACAATGTGATTTTCTGGAATTTTTTTTCTCAATTTGTCTGTCATAGTTGACGTGTACATATGATGAAAATGACAGGCCCCTCTCATCTTTTTAAGTGGGAGAACTTGCACAATTGGTGGCTGACTAAATACTTTTTTTCCCCACTGTATGCTATGGGGACAGCCGAAGAACCCTTTTGGAAGCCTTTTTTCTAAGAGTGTAGGCATAATCTCTGTCCGGGCAAACTGTCCCTAAATGTTAAGCAAAGTGAAATATGAATAATAGGATGACTAACAGGATGCTCTTCAAGCAGTTTCTGAGAAGTGTGAGTAAGGGAGGTCTGAGTAATACCAAGAACAGGCTGCTCTGAAAATACCTAAAGTGGAGAAGTAGTTTCTTTTCTTTCACAATAGTTAGGGCAACTAGAAGATGGTATGATAGGCCTAAATAGAGTATGATAGAGCATAGAATATACATATTTCTCAACAGGTAGACTGACATTCAGTTGCTCAACATTCAGAACCACATGCCACAAATAAATACATTATTTCAAGACTCTTTATTTATTTTATCAACAATTTCATGCAAAGATTCAGAGATAGTAACAGCTTAAGCTCCTGAAGCAAATAGAATGTACACTTTCTTGTATAGAATCAAATTATTCAAAATGTAATTTGTATTTTAACTTACAATTTAGCAACAAATGTTGAGTACATCAAGTCAGAAGCAAAACTACACATAATTGTACACATTGTGTTGCTCTGAAATTCCCTGAGAACATTAACAGTGCTTGTCCTCTGTAGCTCAATTGGTATAGCATGGCGCTTCCAACGGCAGGATTGTGGGATTGATTCCCGGGACCCCCAGTATGTGAAATGTGTGCACGCATGACTGTAAGTCACTTTGGATAAAAGCGTCTGCTAAATGGCATATTTTTGACCTGGGCAGGAGCTCACCGGCACCTCAAATGTTCTACTGCTTGAGCTCCTGTTCCTCTTATAGAATATTAGCTCAAAAGTATTGTGGAGTTCCTGCACCTAAATATAAACAGTACCGGCACCCAAAATGAGTACCGGAACCTATTTCACTCCAAGTCAAACACTGCACATCAATACTCTCTGTTTTAAAGACCAGTTCCTGTTCTCTCGTATTCATAAATGGAATGTGGACTTTTCTGAGAAGTTCTTCTACTGTTGCTACTTTGGCTAGTCAGGATATGTCTCTTCAGACATGGGATGTGCTTTGCAAGTAGTTTCCTAAAGTGACTCTGAAACTTTTTCGCAACAAATGTGTAAAAGACAGGGCTCACACAACAGTAGAGGTATGCTATATTCCTAGTGACATACAGAGCGTAATCAAGCACTTCAGAACACGGCTCAGAATCATCACTGGTGGAGAACTGGAGGGCCCTCAGCAGAATCACAACATTGTATGGGGTCCAGCACACAAAAAACGTGAATATAATCACAAAAATCAGCTTGACTGTCCTGCACTTTTCACTCATCCGGATTGACATGATTCGGACCGTGATTCTAACATAGCAGTACATGACCATAGCCAAGGGAAACAGGAAGAAGATCACAAACTGCTGATAGTATCCAACAAGCTGCCATTTCATCATGATCTCCTTGGAGAAGCCAGTCTCCTCACAAAGGTGTCCGGCTCGAGGATCCTTCCGGACGTTGTATAGAACCAACTCCTTGACACTGGCCAGAAGGCTGATACACCACACAACTGCTGAGGAGACACAGGCGTAGATCTTCCTCCTCCATTTGGCAGAGTTGATGGCATGGACCACAGCCAGGTACCGGTCAAAGGTCATGAGAGTGAGGAAGAGGACGGAGCTGTAGAATCCTATGAAGTACACGCTACCCACCAGCTTGCACATGACCGGGCCAAAGATCCACTCAGAGTAGTAGTAAATGGCCAAGAAGGGTAAACTGGAGGCGAACAGCAGATCAGAGATGACCAGGTTGAGGAGGAAGATGTTGGTGACGGAAGTGAGCTTCTCATATTTGCAGATAATGCACAGAACCAGCCCATTCCCAATGATGCTCAACAGGAAATTGATGGTGCAGAATGTTGGGTTGAACTTGGCTCCAAATCTGTTCACGGCAGCTGTGGCACAAAGACTCACCAGTTCATCCACAACATAGCTGGGGTCTGTGCCGTTATGATCCGTGTCATTTTCATCGTTGTAAAAAGCCAAGAAGTCGTTGTACTCTGCCATTGTTGTCAGTCTCTAAACCTGTTTAGAGGTTGTAAATATGTTTTATTTTCTGATCTGCTATTACCTCCTATGTATTTGCAGTTTGAAAGATAAACCGGTAGTTACACAGTATTTAGCTTTATGCTTTCATTTCTTTAACTTCAATTTTAAGTAAATACCAGAAACTACTCATTTTAATTTCTTATTAAATACTCTACAATCTGCAAGTGGACTGTATACTTATAGCAATACTTTAACAACTTACCAATGTGACCTTTCTAGGTCGTGGTGTTTTGATTGTCAGAAAGGGAGCGTTGTTTTCCTGTTAAAAGTGTCAGTGCTAGTAGGTTGAAGCTTTGTGTTCGAGAGGTGTTGCTTCTGCTAGAGATATGTGATCTACTCCAGCCTTAGAGCCTCCCTAACAAAGGGCTGTCTTGACACTGTTCAATAGAGGAACTACTGGAACCTTATTCATCTTAATCATAAAAAGGTTGTAACATGGGATTCAACTTATTAACAAGACTATAACAGAAGTTTATTCAAAAAAAGACTTCACAGTCAACAGTGCTTTCTCTGATAAGAAAATACATGTAGAAATGTATACATTTGTTTTGAAATGTGGATATCAAAATAATAAAAGGCAATTGTAACAGGCCAACAATATCTAAAAGTATAATACAAACTGTTTGAAAATAGCCCATCTGATATATTTTTTACAAATGTGTGGGTGGGGGGGGGGGGCGGGGGTAATAAAATGTCAACTTGTCAAAAGTTTTCAAAATAAGATAGATGGAAGTTAATCATGTAAAACTTTTCATGGTTACTACAGACAGACAACGCATACTGACAGTAAACATGCTAGTTTCCATCCAGCAGGAGGTTCACTGAACACTGAGGGGAAAATGCAGAAGTTGTGAACCTGTAACAAACCTATCTAGTAGGACAATAAATATGTTTATACCCGTAGAAGTGAAGCAAATGAATGACTAACAAGCTTGATTGTAAAGGAAAATAAATTACTTATAAAAGTAATTTAAACATATACAAAATATAGTAGTTACTTAAAAAAGCATTGTAGTGAAGAGCTAGTTGTTTTAAAGTGAAAGACTTTGATGCAGAGTCGTATGTTCCTAGTGTTGTTCTTGAACATACAGTAAATCATTTGGGAGAAAACTTTTTCACAATTGCTACCTGTCACTCCATATCATGTTTAATGCTTTGGATCCAGCAAAGAGGTAGTTTAACTAAGGCAGTGCAATTCTCATGGTAAGTCTCTATACCTCCTCTACACTGATTGACAGTAAAAACAACATTGCCCCTTGGATGTTATGCGCCAGTGAATGGGTAATAATATCCCTAATCATCACTTGTCCTTATCACTTCTGCCTGTTCGCTGAATCACCCCTGGCCTGAAGACAGTGTCAAACAACCCTGTTTGGCTGGATACAAATTTGCGTCACTTTGTTGCCCTATATCCTCTGTTTCTTTCCCTCAAGTTTGAGTGGATCACCCCACATGAAACAAAGGGTTAACTCACTCACTCCAGCAGCCCTTGATTTTTCAGTGAGCAGTCCTTGACTTAGTTAGTCTCAAAATGTCAAACTTAAAATGTCCTGCTTTCCTTGTGAGACCTAGAAGTTGGGTCCTTTGCTGTAGCGTTCCTCTCTGAGAATAGCCTGGTAGCAGGAGGTGGGGTCACATACGCCATTGGCCCCAGGAGGGCCACGCTTCCCTGGGATGCCAGGGATTCCTGACTTCCCTGGTTCACCTGGAGGCCCTGAGATGCCGTGTCCGTCACTGCCTCTAGGCCCCTGGAGACCTGCAGAGATGGGAGATTAAGACATTAAGAGTGGTATTGTTTATCTCATGTCCCTGACATCCACAGGGACAATCTACAGATTTCTACGTATGTTGATCAACTGGTCATACAGTATGTTGGTCAGTATTCAATTGTAGATGACTGGTATACATTTGTTTGTGAAAACATGAATAGCAGCACTCAACATTCCAACAAGAAGTGGGGGATTCTTACCTGATGGGCCGGGAGGACCTGTCAACCCTGTGTCTCCATCTCCTTTGGACCCCTTTAACCCCATTGGTCCAATATCACCTGCACATAAGAGCATAGCAAAAAAGTCAGCAAGGTTACTTAATCCAAAACCATGGAATTCCAATTCACACCAACAGCAGGGAGAAGTCGAGTTCTTTGACCGTAAATCCCTGTGACCCAAACACTAGCGCAGTGTTACCTTTGTGCCCACGAGGCCCCATCAGGCCTGGCTGTCCTGGGTAACCCTGTAAGCCGGGCGTGCCAGGGTACCCTGGTGTTCCACTGGGTCCTTTGGGGCCGGCAGGGCCCTGCTCACCAGGTGGCCCCTTCACTGTCTCACACTGCCCACATTGACTTTTTGGTGCCATCATCGCCAGGAGCTGCGGCAGCTGATCTGGATAGGGGAAAACAGCACACAATTCTAGCTAGTCTTGTTTCTGTATTGACATACAGTACATAGTTGCAATGTACAGTAAGCCTATTTATTTATTTAGTTTCAGGACTACTGTAGGTGTGTTACGTGTCAAAAATAGCAACTTGTTCTGACTCATGCCCAGACAGTGATTGGGAAACCATGTACATTGCAGAGGATGTGTTTTTTTCTCAAAATTGCAGAAATGAAAGCTGCATTCGGGCCCCAGATGTTTCCAAGGGGCATGTTGCTGTTCACATAGCTCAACAGAATGCTACTGTATGCATACACCTACAGTTACCAACATCGTCACTATTTTGAAATGGCATGGATATGTGCACTTGGTGAAAAAACTAAACAATGGATGATTGTCTAATGCCTAAATTCCTAGCTAGCATTTTGAAGTCTATTATTTGTAACAGTCGAAAATCTTCAAGAATCCATACAACTTATAATGGTCATGCTCATGCATAAAATAAAAATAGCAGGGAACCTACTCCGAAGTACATTAGCGCAAAGCTTCATCAAGTGGTCATCAGTTGGTGGCTTCCCCTGAAAGACAATACATTCACATCAGTATGCTGGTAGTTAATGAGCTGGTAATGACTCTATTGACATTTTCGGGCAAATGGCTTCGACTCAAGATGTGGTCCACTTACAGGTTTGCCTGGGTATCCCAGCTCTCCTGGTTGCCCTGGTAACCCATCTTGTCCAGGAGAGCCGCGAGGCCCAGCAGCTCCCATCAGACCCACGTCCCCGTTCCTCCCTGCCGGCCCTCTGGCTCCAGTATCTCCTGATAGGCCTTTCTGGTGGGGTACAACATCACAGCTAATTCAGTTGGTGTTATAGATAGTTTGCAAACATACAATAATACGAAAACAGACAGCGGTCTGTTGAATTCACTTTATTTTTGAAAGCAATGTCTGTATAGGATGGTGTCATTCTGTTCAATATCTTTTCAATTTCATTGAATATGTGCAATGTGTCTGTTCCTTGTCATAGACCATGAGGTTCTCATGAGAGAGTAGAGGCGACTATGCAGAACTGACCACTAGACACATTTCCATTCTCTTCATCAGACTTTGTTTCTATGTGTTAGCATGGTAGGACAAATCGTGCGATTTGTACGTCTTCAAAATATACCTTCTGTACTATATATATATAGGTGGACTTCTCAATTACTCAGTGTACAAACAAGAAGTTACATTTGTAAATGGAACTTCTACCTATGTCAAATGAAAGGATGAAGTAGAACATCAACTCTAAGATGAAATGAATCAGATCAAACTAATTCAACTCACCTCTCCTTTGCTTCCTTTGAGTCCAGCTTCTCCCTGCAGTGGCAATCATACACAACATAAGGATAAAAAAAACTGAAATAAATGGATGGCCTAAAAGGCAGTATGAATACCCTTTAGTTACAGTATCAGTGATGCATGCCTCCTAAACAGAGTTGAGAGGTGAAAGGTTAAACGCTACATACGTTTGCCCCACTGTTCCCAGGCACTCCATTGTTGCCTCTCTCACCCTGGAGAAACAGGAGAGTAAGGGTGGCGATGAAAAACACAATTCAATACTGTTGCTCATAATATAACAAACATTTCAGATTTCCTGTATTATATTATACCTGGCTTCCTTTGGGACCAGGTTCGCCAGTTTCCCCCTGAAAACAATGACAGACATGTTATCTATAGTCAGTCATATGATAACAACAATTAATAAACCAAAAAGCCATACTCTACTCTAGTTAAGTTACTTTTGTAATGTCGTTTATACGTAAGCACTTACTGAATCAAGCATATGTGAAAGTGTTTATAGTTTTGTAATTCATTACCTTGTGACCTTTGAACCCTGGCAGTCCTCTGTCACCAGGTAACCCTTGAATCCCCTGCTCTCCCTCCACTCCCTGGAGAATAAACAGGAAACCCATTCTTTATAATAGCTTCAACAAAATATAACAATTCCACTACTGTATAACAATCATACATGTACATTCAAGTAGTTTGATTCTGTATTTGTGACAGAGAGCAAAATATATAATATAATATAATATGCCATTTAGCAGACACTTTTATCCAAAGCGACTTACAGTCATGTGTGCATACATTTTTACGTATGGGTGGTCCCGGGGATCGAACCCACTACCCTGGCGTTACAAGCGCCATGCTCTACCAATTGAGCTACAGAGGACCACACACTGAAATGAAGCCACACACACTGAACATAACTTATTTCCTTTCCATGTACAGTACTGTAATTTATATTTTATTCTCAGGGGACTTCTACTTGTTAGTATTGAATGGCACAAGGCCAAAAGCACATGAACCATAGGCCTACAGCAGTAAAACAATGATATGTATTGTGAGTTATAATGATGCTGAGAGATATGATATCCCAATTCGAAGTCTTCTGCCTGAGGTGAATCCTGTATGGAAAAAAACAATTTGCAGCCCCCAGTACTAGAATACTGTATATAGTATATTTCACCTATACCCAAACAGCTGAAAAATACTTACTTTCAGTCCAGGTGTCCCAGGATGTCCTTCTGATCCACGCACACCTTGGGCCCCCTACACATGTAGAGACACGTGTTAACAAACACATTAACACTCCCAGAACACACACAAACTACATCACAAAAAGCACATGTATATAATAGAATACATACATACACACAAAGTACATGCAGCTCAGACACACTCACTAAGGGTAGGGGAAATACAGTAGGGGCAATTGTTGAAAATGTATGCACTCACTAACTGTAAGTCGCTCTGGATAAGAGCGTCTGCTAAATGACTAAAATGTAAATGTTCACTGGTTACCTTTGAACCTTCACGTCCATAAATTCCAGGTGGACCAATCGGACCCTGAAGACCCTGTACATGAGTGAAAATTCCGTTTTTAAAACAATGGCATAATCATTTGTAAGGCATAATGAAATGAACCTCATGAACATAATGTGATTTGAATCATGTGAAATTCTGAGGACTAGACTTTATTATAGATCAAAAAGGTGAGACAAAGAGTTACTTTTATCACACCATGATATAGGGACCAAGACAAATGGAAAGATACACAGAAAACAATTGGTGAATAAAATGGTGAGAATGTGAGAATGATTTGAAATCACATGACAATATAATTGTCCCCATGTCCTCATTTGCTTTTCAGTTCTTCTAAAGTGGTCATGTAAGCCACAAGTCGGATAGAAGCAACAAGTTGGCTGCTCAAGAAGAACCACAGTTCAATTCAACCACAGAGTTGCAACATCGTGACATTCCAATTGAGGGCAGCAAAGTGAATAGTTGAGGTTCATCAATGACAAACTTGAATGCACAGTACAGTTCCTGCTTACATTTGTACATTCCTATTTTGTGGAGGATCTCACTCTGAATATTGCAGAGGAGCATTATGGAGCAGCAAAATAATTATTTCATTGTCAATAGGGTGAACATAGTGTAAGAGAAGAAAATATGTAATTATCATCAAGCATACTGTACTTTCAGGTCCGATCAGTCACCTACCTGAGGTCCTTTTGGTCCAACCAGCCCCTCTTGTCCGGGTGGGCCTCTCTCCCCCTTATCAAAAACAAGGTGAAGTCAAGTTTATTCAAAATGCATTTTACATTGTTCTCAACACACTTTACAAGTCTTTACAGTTACTCTTACACTGAATATTGAATTAGTCATTTGCTGTCTTAGCAGGAAGGGCAAGGTCATGATGACACAGAGGATGAGCCAATCAAGTCATTGATGGCGACATGGCCAAATACTGGATTATATTGTCTAAAATGATAAATGACAAGTTTGATCTGTTTATTACCTGAGGTCCAGCAGGCCCCATTTGCCCGGGAAGGCCTCGGATTCCCTATGAAGATAATGACAAAAAACAGAGATATCACACTCAGGACAACGATGAAAAAACATAGGCAAATATCTATATCAATAAACATGTATAATTTCTACAGCTCTATTTCAGCACAGTTGAGTGTCTCTTAATGCTCTTGAAATATCCTGTAAACTGGAAGAAAGCTGTATGATGATGATTTTGTGCACATGAAATTAGAGGCCCACTTTCTATTTCCATTTCACATGTTTACTCGGCTGGCGGTGACCACAATATCCACCTAGTTTACACCCAGTCAGAGCTTTCACCGATTTCCTACAGTAAGTAATGGCACTCATGGGACTTAGGGAGGGAGCCATGATGATGATTAAAGTTAGCAGAGCGCAACATAAACTGTTAGTTCCACTCCTCCTGATGCATTGCAGGCTTTTAAATTACAGCTGTAGGATGGCTTGGCTGACTGGCTCATTAGGACTTTCATTCATTTTTCAATCCAGTTAGATTTTATTTGATTTCCCCATAAACAGGAACATTGTAATTATAGGCAGAGAGGCACAGCAGAATGGCTGAAGGGCATCTGAGGGCACTGGCCACCACACCTAAGTTCAAATAGTATTTGTTTTCTTTCAAATACTTTGATTGAGCTTGATTGGAGAATGGCTGAGGTCATGCGATGGCACTGGCTACATTAGCTACATGTTGAGCCACAGGGTTTTATGTTGCGCCAGACCCAGACCACAGACTCTATTTATCAAACTCCTCTTGCTATTTTTGGTGAACACATTAGTTGCTGTATACATGCTCAAACAGACCGGCATCATTTCAATATGTTGTCTGTGACAAGCTCTAACAAACCAAGGCCAGCATTTGCATTAGATTGAGACCAGATAGAAAGACAAATAGTTGTTTATATATCATCTGTCTCCACCTGGTGGCCTTTTAGTGGTCTCTTTAAATTAGTTTCAAAACAGGAAAGATCGTCCCGAGGTGTACTGAGGTGAGAACTGGAGGAGCCGCCAACGTACTAAAGTATTTTTGATTAGCCTCTAGGACTAGGTGTACTTCTGCATTAATCATTCATTTGATCTCATATACACCTTGTATACTAAATGGAGAGCAGTGGAGGCTGGTGGGAGGAGCTATTGGAGGAAAGGCGCTCGTTGTAATGGCTGGAATGGAATGAATGGAACAGAGTTCTCCCTGACCAAGGCCCTTCTCCCCCGATTGCTCAGTTTGGCCAGGCAGCCAGCTCTAGGAAGAGTCTTGGTGGTTCCAAACTTCTTCCATTTAAGAATGATGGAGGCCACGGTGTTCTTGGGGACCTTCAATGCTGCAGGAATTGGTACCCTTCCCCAGATCTGTGCCTCGACACAATCCTGTCTCGGAGCTCTACCGACAATTCCTTCCACCTCATGGCTTGGTTTTTGCTCTGACATGCACTGTCAACTGTGGGACCTTATACAGACAGGTGTGTGCCTTTCCAAATCATGTCCAATCAATTGAATTTACCACAGGTGGACTCCAATCAAGTTGTAGAAACATCTCAAGGATGATCAATGGAAACAGGATGCACCTGAGCTCAATTTAGAGTCTCATAGCAAAGGGTCTGAATACTTATGTAAATAAGGTATCAGTTTTCTATTTTTTATAAATTTACAAAAATCTCTAAAAACCTGTTTTTGCTTTGTCACTATTGGGTATTGTGTGTAGATTGATGAGGGGGAAAAAACAATTTAATCCATTTTAGAATAAGGTTGTAACGTAACAAAATGTGGAAAAAGAGGTCTGAATACTTTCCAAAGACTATGAAAGAGGAGACTGATTATTACATCATAGTGGTTCTCATAATATTTATATGGTTTGGAAAAAGGGAATTAAGGATGTTAGAGATCACCACTAAAGCTTATTTAGTAGAATAAGGTAGTTAGTGGGTGTAGGCTACGTATGGATTACACACAGATGCTATGAGGTCTTTTTAGCACTTGGCCAAAATTATTTTTAGTGAAAGGTTTAACCCAAAGATAGATTCTACCCAGATGGGGGTGGTTATTGGTGGTCCCTCTGCCAGCTGGTTCAGATTCTGGCCAGGGGCCACAGTACCACACTAAAACATTAGCTATATATTACTCAAGGTTTTCATGCTCCCATTGTGGACAAGGAGGAAATGTGGCTGAAAATATTTATTTGTGGACAGGGTCAGGAGAATGTTTATTATTTTATGTGCTAGATCAATCTGTATTTAAAAAATTCTGTCGGATGATAATAAGCATAGACAAATAAGCATAGACATTTTCTTATGTTTAATCGTGTAAATAGTTTCCTATACACCAAGTGTGGATCCTGGTTGGATAGTCCATCTGTAGATGCTCTACAGATGGTCATACTATCAACAAACCATCTGTTGATAAGCAACGCTTGCTAAGGTTAGGGTAAGGTTTAGAATAAAGGTTAGGGCAAGAGGGTTAAGTTTAGGGTTAGGATAAGGGATAAGGTTAGGGTTAGGGATTTTTATTTTATTATTTCACCTTTATTTAACCAGGTAAGCCAGTTGAGAACAAGTTCTCATTTACAACTGCGACCTGGCCAAGATAAAGCAAAGCAGTGCGATAAAAAACAACACAGAGTTACATATGGGGTAAACAAAACATAAAGTTAAAAATACAACAGAAAATATATATACAGTGTGTGCAAATGTAGCAAGTTATGGAGGTAAGGCAATAAATAGGCCATAGTGCAAAATAATTACAATTTAGTATTAACACTGGAATGATAGATGTGCAAGAGATTATGTGCAAATAGAGATACTGGGGTGCAAATGAGCAAAATAAATAACAATATGGGGATGAGGTAGTTGGGTGGGCTAATTTCAGATGGGCTGTGTACAGGTGCAGTGATCGGTAAGGTGCTCTGACAACTGATGCTTAAAGTTAGTGAGGGAGTTAAGAGTCTCCAGCTTCAGAGATTTTTGCAGTTCGTTCCAGTCATTGGCAGCAGACAACTGGAAGGAATGGCGGCCAAAGGAGGTGTTGGTTTTGGGGATGACCAGTGAGATATACCTGCTGGGGCGCATACTACGGGTGGGTGTTGTTATGGTGACCAATGAGCTAAGATAAGGCTGGGATTTGCCTAGCAGTGATTTATAGATGACCTGGAGCCAGTGGGTTTGGCGACGAATATGTAGTGAGGACCAGCCAACAAGAGCGTACAGGTCACAGTGGTGGGTAGTATATGGGGCTAGTATATGGGGCTTTGGTGACAAAACTGATGGCACTGTGATAGACTACATCCAATTTGCTGAGTAGAGTGTTGGAGGCTATTTTGTAAATGACATCGCCGAAGTCAAGGATCGGTAGGATAGTCAGTTTAACGAGGGCATGTTTGGCAGCATGAGTGAAGGAGGCTTTGTTGCGAAATAGGAAGCTGATTCTAGATTTAACTTTTGATTGGATATGCTTAATGTGAGTCTGGAAGGATAGTTTACAGTCTAACCAGACACCTAGGTATTTGTAGTTGTCCACATACTCCAGGTCAGACCCGCCGAGAGTAGTGATTCTAGTCGGGCGGGCGGGTGCCAGCAGTGTTCGATTAAAGAGCATGCATTTAGTTTTACTAGTGTTTGAGAGCAGTTGGAGGCTACGGAAGGAGTGTTGTATGGTATTGAAGCTCGTTTGGAGGTTTGTTAACACAGTGTCCAATGAAGGGCCAGATGTATACAAAATGGATAGTGGATAGTTAGTTGAAATATTACTGATAGTCTGTAGAGCATGTACAGATGGACTATCCAAATAAAGTGTTACCGATCCTGGAGTTAGCAAACACTGTGGTTGGATGAACACCACATTTGGAGAAACATCAACGCAAACACCATTACTATTTTGAGTTAAAAGTCCTTAATGTCATTTAGGTTACTTTATAAACCATCCATGGTTTTAGTGTATATGTTACATTGGAAAAACATAGCTGCTATGATCATTTAAAGGGAGCAGGTAGTAGAATGCATAGGAGTGGATGAGGATGATTAGTAAATGGACTGGCTTAGTGAATGTGTCCAGCTTTTATTTAGAAATAACATTTCATTTGAACAATGATGACTCACCGGAACTCCAATCTGTCCATCACCACCAGGAACCCCAACATCTCCTTTCTCACCCTAAACAGAATAAAACAGAAGTATGATATTCACATACTTGATATACTCTGAAACAGCTACTGTAACGTGTGAAAATATCCATTGAGGTTTGAGACAGATGATCGCCTCAAGCTGGGGGTTGCCATACCCCGTCACTGAGGTTTAAAACTAGCACTCTTATCAAAGATCCCTCTTAACAAAAAATGTGTTCGAAATCCTAACTAACACAACATACACACTATTATGGTGATCATATTTCATTCATGCTCCAAGGCGAGCATAGAGTGCAGCAGTAGAACAGAGTGCACGAGAGAAGAAAGACATGATCCTTCTCAAACACTCATACACCTCCAACATAGGTTTATGATATAAACCACAGTACCCGCTGCTCAATAAGGTTTTCAACAATAAAGGAGGTTTATAGGTCCTGACACACGGAGGGCTGCTTTTGAAGTGCTTTGCCTTCCTGAACATCTAAACAGACACACGTGCCACAAAGAGCCTATCATTAGGAACATAAGAGGTCTGTATGATCTTATGAAAATACTTGGTAAAATTATAATGGCTGTAAATATTGAGGATGACAAGTGTTGATTATGGCTTTCAAAACATGTAACCAACACAGTGTGGGAGATATCTAGAAAAGGAGTTCATATCTACCGTCAAATGTATTGAATGCTCTTCAGTTTTAGCCACGCTAACTACAATTAGTCCAGTGTTCTACATCTCTGCAATGATGCATGTTCAATTACATAAAGGCATAAAAGGCTAAGGCATAAAAGGCTAAGGCATAAAAATCAAGAAAGACTCTTATCAAAATCTCAAATGACATAGCACCAAAAACTAATGAATACTATATCACAATGTTACTCATGTGATTCACCAAATTACAAGACATTAGTTACATTTTTAAGACACTGGAATCCTATTTTGGAACACTCTTAGTAAAAAGGGTGTTGGATGTTGAATTGGGTTCTTGTCTTGTGTGTTTTAAATATAGCATTGATTACTGTACTCACATTCAGAATTAACATGTTCTGTAATCAGCTGTGTTTTAATTGTGTAACCTTAAATGTATGTTAATTGCGAAGCTCACACAAGTCAGTCATCAACTTAACCATCAACATAACCTTTCATGTCAATACACGGAATCTGTCTATTTTTATCTAAATGTTGGTGATGCAAAATGAAAGTCTGAAAGACTGTTGAAAATGCTCATGTAAATCACATCAATCACACGTCATGGTCAAAACTTGATTGAGCATGAGTAATAATAATAATAATAATATGCCATTTAGCAGACGCTTTTATCCAAAGCGACTTACAGTCATGCGTGCATACATTTTTTTTTTGTGTGTATGGGTGGTCCCGGGGATCGAACCCACTACCTTGGCGTTACAAGTGCCGTGCTCTACCAGCTGAGCTACAGAGGACCACGTCACTTAGGTACTTCTTCCAAGATGTCTAATCTCTTCAAAGTATTGTGATGTTTCATGCACAGGAAGGAACAATGTTCCTCCCCATGTGGAACAAAGCATTCTATTTGACATGGATGTTTAGGCAAGATTGTGCAAAGATGAGTATTCCGCTCTTGCTTTTGAGGCTGCGCCTTACTCTAAAGCAGGGCTCAAGCCCTGTTCCTGGAAAGCTAGCTTCCTGTAGGTTTTCAATCCAATCCTAATCTAGCGCACTTAATTCCACAGATTATCCATTATATTGACCAGATACTCCAGTGGCCGCTCTAATAATGTTTTTTAAAAAGTCTTCAAAAATGGAAAGCAGTCGGGAGGAGGCAAGATCAGGTGGGAACATTATAGCCAATGAAAGGGCAGATACGCGTGTAAACAACAGGCACAACTTCTATATAAAGTGTTTTTTTCTCAAAGTTGCCGGGATGTCACGTGTCCTACTTATATCAGTACACTCTTAACAACCTAATCATTACTTAACTTCTATTCGATCAAATAAGACACACGTAGCAAATAAGCCATTACGTTTTTTGTTAACCAAATTCAACACTCTCTCATTGACCTCCATAGAAAAACTCCTTGCTTGGTGAGTGAAGAACAAAAAAACGGCACCAGCTGGAGAAGACATATTTTGGGCCCAGTTATCCCTCTCGCTTTGCCTCTACCTCTCTGCTGATTCTAATAATTAGCTGGTTGATAATCTGAATCACGTTAGTTACAACTGGTGTTGGATTGAAAACCTACAGGAAGCTAGCTCTCCAGGAACAGGGCTAGAGAGCCCTGCTTTAGAGTAAGGCACAGCCTCAAAAGCAAGAGCGGAATACTCATCTTTGCACAATCTTGCCAAAACATCCATGTCAAATAGAATGCTTTATTCCACATGGGGTGGAACATTGTTCCTTCCTGTGCATGAAAAATCACATGAAAACTTATTTGATTTGGACCTCACAACAAGCTGTTTTCTGAATTACAACAGGAATCATTTGTAACTTAAAACTATGACATTTTTTCCACATAACCATTTTTACTCATCTAGGATAGCAATTACCCAAAACTTTATGGGATTTCACCTCACATGTAACTTTCATTCAAGTTTTACCGGGAATTTTATGCATGCATCTCTGAGCATTTTGATCCAAGTGTAGCCTAGTACTGATAGCCTTTTTTCCTATTGTTGTCAAGGCATGTATGCTGGCTGGTTAAACCAAACCTCTCCGACATCTAAAGTATGGTGTGGCTGGTTTTTACAGCCACTGTGTCCTGTAAGCTTCAGGGCCGTGATTACAGAGTGCAGCAGCCAAGCCTGCTGCAGCGCCATGCCGCACTGTGAAAACCCAACCCGACAAGCAGGCTTTCATCTGGGCCACCACATCAAACCCCCCATCAGTCGGTTAGCTAATCATGCACTGGATCCAGCAGGCTGGAACTGGGGGTGGGACTGGGACTGGGGATGGGGAGCTGGGGTTTTGCTTTAAGAGTTATTTGGGGACCTTGGCTTCTAATCCAAATGAGAGGGAAGGTTGGGAAAATATACACTGCTCAAAAAAATAAAGGGAACACTTAAACAACACAATGTAACTCCAAGTCAATCACACTTCTGTGAAATCAAACTGTCCACTTAGGAAGCAATACTGATTGACAATACATTTCACATGCTGTTGTGCAAATGGAATAGACAACAGGTGGAAATTATAGGCAATTAGCAAGACACCCCCAATAAAGGACTGGTTTTGCAGGTGGTGACCACAGACCACTTCTCAGTTCCTATGCTTCCTGGCTGATGTTTTGGTCACTTTGAATGCTGGCGGTGCTTTCACTCTAGTGGTAGCATGAGACGGAGTCTACAACCCACACAAGTGGCTCAGGTAGTGCAGCTCATCCAGGATGGCACATCAATGCGAGCTGTGGCAAGAAGGTTTGCTGTGTCTGTCAGCGTAGTGTCCAGAGCATGGAGGCGCTACCAGGAGACAGGCCAGTACATCAGGAGACGTGGAGGAGGCCGTAGGAGGGCAACAACCCAGCAGCAGGCCTGCTACCTCCGCCTTTGTGCAAGGAGGAGCAGGAGGAGCACTGCCAGAGCCCTGCAAAATGACCTCCAGCAGGCCACAAATGTGTATGTGTCTGCTCAAACGGTCAGAAACAGACTCCATGAGGGTGGTATGAGGGCCCGACGTCCACAGGTGGGGGTTGCGCTTAAAGCCCAACACCGTACAGGACGTTTGGCATTTGCCAGAGAACACCAAGATTGGCAAATTCGCCACTGGCGCCCTGTGCTCTTCACAGATGAAAGCAGGTTCACACTGAGCACATGTGACAGACGTGACAGAGTCTGGAGACGCCGTGGAGAAAGTTTTGCTGCCTGTAACATCCTCCAGCATGACCGGTTTGGCGGTGGGTCAGTCATGGTGTGGGGTGGCATTTCTTTGGGGGGCCGCACAGCCCTCCATGTGCTCGCCAGAGGTAGCCTGACTGCCATTAGGTACCGAGATGAGATCCTCAGACCCCTTGTGAGACCATATGCTGGTGCGGTTGGCCCTGGGTTCCTCCTAATGCAAGACAATGCTAGACCTCATGTGGCTGGAGTGTGTCAGCAGTTCCTGCAAGAGGAAGGCATTGATGCTATGGACTGGCCCGCCCGTTCCCCAGACCTGAATCCAATTGAGCACATCTGGGACATCATGTCTCGCTCCATCCACCAACGCCACGTTGCACCACAGACTGTCCAGGAGTTGGCGGATGCTTTAGTCCAGGTCTGGGAGGAGATCCCTCAGGAGACCATCCGCCACCTCATCAGGAGCATGCCCAGGCGTTGTAGGGAGGTCATACAGGCACGTGGAGGCCACACACACTACTGAGCCTCCTTTTGACTTGTTTTAAGGACATTACATCAAAGTTGGATCAGCCTGTAGTGGGGGTTTCCACTTTAATTTTGAGTGTGACTCCAAATCCAGACCTCTATGGGTTGATAAATTTGATTTCCATTGATAATTTTTGTGTGATTTTGTTGTCAGCACATTCAACAATGTAAAGAAAAAAGTATTTAATACGATTATTTCATTCATTCAGATCTAGGATGTGTTATTTTAGTGTTCCCTTTATTTTTTTGAGCAGTGTATATATATACAAAAATACATATTTAGGACACATTTAGCTGATAATATGCCAAGGGGTTCCAAAAATAATTATTCCTTCAATGAATTTGAGTGATAGGATGACCATTAGCCATGATTACCTGCATAGTGACTCACTGCAATTACAAACTACACTCAAAATAATGAAACTCCACCAAGGGAAATATTATCTGTGTACAGGAGATTTTTACAGTTAAATCAATGGTGGCATCCCTGGTGTTTTACAATTTCAGTAAACCAGTTTGAGGTTTAACTTGTACTTTTCATGGTTACAAAGCGCAAATGTCACATCCCTCACAAAACCGTTCCTTCTCCAATTATCAGACAAGAACAAACATCTTAATGGGCCAAGACCTTTATCAAAGCTATTTTACGGGTAAGTGTGCATAGTTTAATAAGCCGGTAAATGGTAGGGTGTCACTAATTTCCACCACTCCAAAAGGAAGGGAGATGGTCCCTGGGCGATAAACAGATGCTGGGGCAGATGCAGAGCTCTGAAAATAGACTGCAGGAACAGAAGCCACGCTCCGCTCCGCAGCATTCACCCCTGCTATTGGAGCCCCAACTCAAGCCAGGCAGGGAAACAGCTTACACATACTACTACTGGAAGCTGAAATTATCCTTTGTGTCCCTGGATCTCCTAGATCCACTACAGATCCAGTGAACACACCACAATGTTCCCTCAGGAAAAATAAACCTCTTAAGTCTAAGGCTAGTTTACTAGGTACTGACCGGCATATGAGTATTCATTGAATATAGCCTGCATTATAGTAGTTGAAAGCATCAGTTCAAAATCCAATTAAAACACAAGGTTATAGGGTGTAGCTAAAATAAGTAATTATCCACAAATGGGGTAATGAAATTATCCCCATCCACACAACAAAAAAAAAAATAACTGAACATATATACAGTTCAAATCCAACCAAGGCAATGAACATCAAATAAACATATTATTGTCAATGTTTACAAGTGAACTAACAATTTCCCTACCTCCTAGACCCACCACCTCAACTCTAGAAATAGCTTACAGTGGGGAAAAAAAGTATTTAGTCAGCCACCAATTGTGCAAGTTCTCCCACTTAAAAAGATGAGAGAGGCCTGTAATTTTCATCATAGGTACACGTCAACTATGACAGACAAAATGAGAAAAAAAAATCCAGAAAATCACATTGTAGGATTTTTTATGAATTTATTAGCAAATTATGGTGGAAAATAAGTATTTGGTCAATAACAAAGGTTTCTCAATACTTTGTTATATACCCTTTGTTGGCAATGACACAGGTCAAACGTTTTCTGTAAGTCTTCACAAGGTTTTCACACACTGTTGCTGGTATTTTGGCCCATTCCTCCATGCAGATCTCCTCTAGAGCAGTGATGTTTTGGGGCTGTCGCTGGGCAACACGGACTTTCAACTCCCTCCAAAGATTTTCTATGGGGTTGAGATCTGGAGACTGGCTAGGCCACTCCAGGACCTTGAAATGCTTCTTACGAAGCCACTCCTTCGTTGCCCGGGCGGTGTATTTGGGATCATTGTCATGCTGAAAGACCAAGCCACGTTTCATCTTCAATGCCCTTGCTGATGGAAGGAGGTTTTCACTCAAAATCTCACGATACATGGCCCCATTCATTCTTTCCTTTACACGGATCATTCGTCCTGGTCCCTTTGCAGAAAAACAGCCCCAAAGCATGATGTTTCCACCCCCATGCTTCACAGTAGGTATGGTGTTCTTTGGATGCAACTCAGCATTCTTTGTCCTCCAAACACGACGAGTTGAGTTTTTACCAAAAAGTTCTATTTTGGTTTCATCTGACCATATGACATTCTCCCAATCTTCTTCTGGATCATCCAAATGCACTCTAGCAAACTTCAGACGGGCCTGGACATGTACTGGCTTAAGCAGGGGGACACGTCTGGCACTGCAGGATTTGAGTCCCGGGCCGCGTAGTGTGTTAATGATGGTAGGCTTTGTTACTTACATAGGGGCGGCAGGTAGCTTAGTGGTTAAGAGCGTTGTGCCAGTAACTGAAAGGTTGCTGGTTCTAATCCCCGAGCCGACTAGGTGAAAAATCTGTCGATGTTCCCTTGAGCAAGGCACTTAACCCTAATTGCTCCTGTAAGTCGCTCTGGATAAGAGCGTCTGCTAAATGACCAATTTATTTATTATTTATTTACTTTGGTCCCAGCTCTCTGCAGGTCATTCACTAGGTCCCCCCGTGTGGTTCTGGGATTTCTGCTCACCGTTCTTGTGATCATTGTGACCCCACAGGGTGAGATCTTGCGTGGAGCCCCAGATCGAGGGAGATTATCAGTGGTCTTGTATGTCTTCCATTTCCTAATAATTGCTCCCACAGTTGATTTCTTCAAACCAAGCTGCTTACCTATTGCAGATTCAGTCTTCCCAGCCTGGTGCAGGTCTACAATTTTGTTTCTGGTGTCCTTTGACAGCTCTTTGGTCTTGGCCATAGTGGAGTTTGGAGTGTGACTGTTTGAGGTTGTGGACAGGTGTCTTTTATACTGATAACAAGTTCAAACAGGTGCCATTAATACAGGTAACGAGTGGAGGACAGAGGAGCCTCTTGAAGAAGAAGTTACAGGTCTGTGAGAGCCAGAAATCTTGCTTGTTTGTAGGTGACCAAATACTTATTTTCCACCATAATTTGCAAATAAATTCATTAAAAATCCTGCAATGTGATTTTCTGGAAAAAATAATTCTCAATTTGTCTGTCATAGTTGACGTGTACCTATGATGAAAATTACAGGCCTCTCTCATCTTTTTAAGTGGGAGAACTTGCACAATTGGTGGCTGACTAAATACTTTTTTCCCCCACTGTATACAGACTTTCCGCCACCTAGACTAGCTTGTGGAAGTTTCTTTATATAGAACTATGAGTGAAACTGTAACATTTCAAACCTCCTCTTATGGAACCACCAACTCTAAAGGGAAAGGAAAGATTAACCACAAATATTCCCTCTGAAAACCTCCAAAAACAGATATGTTTGTCCTATCTTGGACCAACATCTCTAACAAGATGTCACTGTGCTCTCAGTCCCTTGCTTGTCACATCTGCCATCGCCTACAGATTATGCCATGTCACTTGTTTATGAAAGTATGTGAAATGAAATATCAGTTCACCTTCACTCCAGCTGGTCCAACAAAGCCATCCTTTCCTGCTGGCCCTGTGTCCCCCTGCACAGAAAAACAACATCCTTTCAGTTATAAAATGCTGTATTGTAACACTGGACTTCCCTCTGACTAACAAGTAAACTGATACTGTACTGTTGTCATTGGATGTTTTGTTGTACAGAATAGGGTTGGGCCAACATATGATTAAATATTGTGATATTTGACACTGAAGTTATATCACGAAGTGCAAGACGATATATCGTGATGTGCAAGACTATCCTCTATTTGAACTTCACAAATCAAAACTGTTCCGTTTTATCAGTTAGGCTGTATCTATATGTTGAAAATGAAGTTTAAATGAATTAATAAAGCTTTTTTCCCCCCCACCATACTAAGATTATTTAATGAGAATGTGACTTTAATATCGTAAATAAGCACAAAAATGGCACAGTCTGCAATTACCTAGTCATTAACGGCGCAAAATGATTATATCGGATATCGCAATATTTTGAGTAACATATCGTAGAAGAGGTCTCCCCAGATATCGTCCAACCCTAGTACAGAATAATTAGCACTCCTCATACAGCTATGAAGAAGATGCTGTTGAATACCAGACAGTTCCACACCTTACATAGATATGACCATGAAGTTCAGCATACATAATAGGTGTATACAAGCTTACATGTGGTCCATGCTCCCCTGGTGGTCCCTGAGCTCCTGCTTCACCTGGACTTCCCTGTACATATGAAGATGTTGGAGAAAATGTATTCTGTATTAAAGAGTCAACAAAATATAGCACTACATTCAATTGCCATAAAATATTTAAGAAAAAGTTTGTCTCTTACCTTTTCTCCTGGAATTCCTGTGGCCTCCAATTTAAGTTGTCTCTCAGGTCCCTACAATGGAAACAGTCTTTTTAAACCCTTGTCCATTGGCACCGCCACCATTACATGGTCTTTGAGACCTGACTACCCCTTTGAGTATGTAATGTGTTATTAAAGTAGTCTGAGAATATGTCTATCACGCCTACAGTACATACAGACACTAAATTAAACTGGATATTGGCATTTTGTTTTTATCATTCATGACTACACTACTTGCACCTGCTTAGTAGTCTGCCTATTACGCTGAGCTGCTCCCACAGCCGTGTGTGTGTGTGTGTGTGTGTGTGTCTCTATTATTACACTTTATTAAAGGGTCATGACTCACTGTAGGTCCTGGAGGGCCAGGTCTGCCTTCAAGGCCTGGTGCTCCCGTGTCACCCTGCAGGCAGGATGAATCAGCTCAATCGCAAAGGCATTTCAAAACTACAGTAACATGGTTTAGGCCTGGGGCCTTTAGATCTTATAGCAAGATGAGCCATGCAAAGAATTATGTGATATGAAAATAATTTGTTACAGTATTTTGTGAACCGGTCACATGATGCTTACTTTGGCCCCGTTGAGTCCTGCGTCACCCTTATGTCCTGGTATGCCCGCTTCGCCCTAAGTTGAATAATGAAACCAACATTACAAACAGTGGCAGTAATTATAATCAACCAAATGCAGAAATTGTAGTGACATATATTCACTCACATTGTTCCCATTCTTCCCAGGTTCTCCTGGTATTCCACGTTCACCTGGCTTCCCCTTCACAAGGAAAATGAGCAACAATTGAATTTATCATCAGATTCACCATACTGTATGATTGATCCTCATGTTTTGAAATCAGATATAGGTAAGATAGATAGCCAGTACTCACAGGCTTACCGTCAGGACCAGGTGGCCCCTCCCTCCCCTTCTCACCTCGGAAGCCCTACAGGGTTCAAACAGACAGGCTATAAAGTAGGGATTTACATACAGTTATCCATCTGATGGAGTTTACATTTTGTAGAGCTATTTTGTCATAAATCTCTCAATCAATTTATGGTTTAATTATTTATGATTTAATTATCACCATAGGCCCAGGAAGACCAGGAGGCCCAGGTTTCCCCTGAGGGCAGTTACAGCTCTCCACTGCTGCAGGCTGTCTGTCCAGAGGACACTGGGAGCAGAAAACAGTTTAATATATAAGGAACAACCCAACAAGTGTACAAATGTAATGTAATAATTACAATGTCATGTAAAGACAGACAACTCACCCTGTCATCCTCCTGTATAGAAATAAACACAGAGAGAGATAATGATATGAAGATAAAATTATCTTTGGCCCCCCCGCCTTTAACTGCAACCGTCAGTGACATATGGAAGTAAATGATGAGTCTCGTAGTTACAGTATCATTACACTCACCACAGAGTATATTTCACACGCTGTCTCTTTCTCACTTTGCTCGGGATCGCAGTAAAGCCTGAGTTTTTGTATCTCGATCTAAAGAAGGATTCCAAGACGAACATAGCCATGTTACTGTGTCATTATAGTCAACTAAAGTTAAGCTAAATATAGAAGCTCCCTTACAATGAAAGCAAACCATTATTTGTACATATATGGTTATTGCATTTCGTCAAGTTTGCTCATCACCCATTGTTACTCACAGGAACAGTTGCTTCCATCTTGACCTTCTTGGCGACCTGTATCTTTCCGTTGATGTAGATGGGAAATACAGGTTCTAGTAGGTGCTCCTCGATCTGCATGTCGTCCAGGTAACAGATGATACGTCTGGGTTTAACGAGCAGCTTCAGCTGGTGCCACTCTGAGTCAAAGAGTCTCTGTAGAAAAAGTAAAACTTACTGAGTAGGTAACTACCACTTCAAAACATAAAGAGCTGGTTCCCCCAGACACAGGTTAAGCCATCCATTTAATATGCTTCTTAGTCCAGCACTAGGATTAATGTGTCCAGGAAACCAGTCCAAAGGTGTTGGGGTCGTTATGTCAGTGTGTTTCTATAGACCTTAATTCCTCTGTCATTGAAAATGACACACTGTTCCTTCTTGTTGACACTGGTGGTTGTGCTGGTGAAGGTGACAGACTTGTCCAGTCCGTTGAGGGTCACAGCGAACTGTTTCAGCCCGTCCTGGGAGAGCACTCTGATCAGGTCCAACTTCACATGGTTGGTGGGGCTCTTCAGGCGCAGAGTGGCCACAAACACATAGGAGGGAGGCAGACCCTCAGGAAAGATAGCCCTGGAGGAACAATAAAAATGGGTTATACTGTATATAGAAGTGTGTGAGCTGTAAGGAGTTTACTGCCAGAGCATGTGTGTGTGTATAAATGGTCGGCCCCCCTACCTGGTGCTGTCGGTGAGGTCCAGTCGGGGGCTAAGCAGGTAGGAAGCCTCTGACATCAGCGAGCCCTGGACTTTCTTTGCTTTCATGTCAATCTGCATTCTAGACAGCAGCTCAAATCCCTTTACATTGGCTGTTCCAGGGATCTGCATGGGGCACACAGATTCTGAGAGAGAGAGAGAGAGACAGACAGACAGAGACATACAGAGCAAGTCAGCTTAGACCACAGTTATTTCATCCTGGAGGTTCATGACACATGCGCTGTGCATTATGGAAATGTCTCAAAATAAGCTATCTAAGCTATCATTACCCTCAGGATCCTAGACTCACCCTCACACAGCTTCTGCTCCATGGCGTCTCGGATGTTACCGATGGCGCTGTAGTCCTCAGCGTAGAGAACATACGTAGAGGGGGGCTTGTTGGCCATGGACACCAGCTCGGAGTTGGTGATCTCGTTGCCCACGCCCACAGCGAACAGGATGATATTCTGGGCCTTGGCCTCCACGGCCGCGTCCACCACGTCGTCCTGGCTACGGCCGTCCGTCAGCACCACGGCAATGCGGTTCCTGGCAGGCTGCGTGCGGTTGGAGGACGGGAAGACGTGCTGCGTGGCAAATTTGATGGCCCTGCCCGTCTGGGTGTTGCCCCCCAGGTAGCCGATGGTGTTGATGGCGCCGACCAGTTCCTGGCTGCTCAGGTGTTTGCCCAGCGGAATCTCCAAACGGGGCGTGTCGCTGTACTGGACCACGCCCACATGGGTGTGACGGGAGCTCACGTCGAAGCCGCTGGTGATATTGACCAGCCATCGTTTGGCCAAGTCGAAGTCTGGAGTGCCCACGCTGGAGGAACCGTCGATTATGTAAACCAGGTCATTTGAAGCTGTGCTACAGCCTGGAATCAAGGAAATAATAAATATTACCCACCACGTGATTCACCTCGCTGGCTACAGACATCAAAACCAGTCTTTATAAATCTGCATTAATATGACAATATTTACATTATAGGCCTGTGTACAGTAGTAATATTAGTTAGAAAGCGCAGGCACAATGTTGATAATTATCATTAATTGCAATACATAAAAATGAATAAAATGTATTTACCTGCTTGAATGTCGACATCTTCCAATAAATTATCTCCCCTCAGATGTGGAAGGAACATCCATGTTAATACTGATCCTAATATCCATGTCTTCATTGTTGATCAACAGTACTGCAAAGTCCTCCTTGAATTAAAATGAAGATGGGGGATACAAACTGTAAAGGCAAAATATATATTTTAGTAAATACGTAATAAGCCAGCAAAACATGATTAAGCCAATAAATGCAAAACATATAAAATAACTTTCAAAGTTGTATGCGATAAATCAATTTTGCACCCGAAACTGCACTTTGAATAAGTGAACAAGATTGTACATGTTTTACAGGAATATTTATTTGACTTTTGCCCATTACCCCAATACATTTTTGGGAGAAACTTTAACAATTATTAAGACAGTTATCCTTCTCTTACCTTCACTCTTTACTCATCAGCTGCCAATATGCCACTCATCAATGTAAATGCAAACAGTCCTGCAGTAACACAGTGCATCTAGATTTACTCCAACAGGCTACTTACTCCCTGCTGTACAAGATGACAGGCTGGAACATAGCTAGCAGACATGAATAGATGTTCCTGGAAGCCTTTTTATACCACACCAAACTGTGACGTGGACTTGAGACTTCTCAATGAGGGCCTAGTGGCTTTGGGTTGGGATGTGGATTATAGGGGAGGGGTTACACCCAGCCTCTGAAGCGTGCCTGCCTGCAGCCACCTGTGAGAGGCACTGTAGAGTCAAATCTGCTGCTGAAATTATATGCTACTTTATAGGTCAAACATACTTGCTTGTTTATCTGGTTGCATTTTGTGGAACAGATGGTTAAAAGACCTTGCTGCTGAATCCAAAGCTCCCATTTTACATTGTGGTAATTTAGCAGACACTCTTATCCAGAGCGACTTACAGTAGTGAGTGCATATATTTTCGTACTGCAGTTAGTAGATCATACAAAACTTAAAATGATGATTCATATAACATCGCAACAAACCTTAGCATTAGCCACCTTCTTCTCCCCTCACAACCTGCTGCTGGCATACTCAACTGGGCCATCCTTGAGGTGTGAATCCCATCTGTCAAATATTTATTTGTGTTTTATTTAAAAAGTCTATCCACGTATACCAATTGATCACATTTTGGCTGAAATGTGTAAGTTACCTAGTAGTGTTTGATAATGCATTTATTCAAGACAAGTGTAGGTCTACACAGTGTTTGGTGTAATCTACTGTAGCAGACTACAGGGCCTAGTGGATTGTAATGAAATACTGCCACCTGTTGACAAAGATAAGAAAACTCATGCATAATAATACAACCCAATTTATTTACATTAATTATATCTAGTTATAGTATCTGAAAACTATATTGTGTGCAATATTGTGTGAATATATTTCAGTGAATTGCACGTTTAACAGTTTCATGAAACATATAGAAAATAATATATAATTAAATAAAATGTTATAGAATAGAATAATAATGTATTGTGACAGCACTGAAACATTTATTTAAAAAAATATGTTGTTGGCTTTCATGAGAGAATATAACTTGGGTGCAATGAGGTAGGGTGTACCATTGTCACGACCCGGTGCCCGGTTGGATGAAGTTAGGACCCAGCAGCATCTACTGAAAGATGGGAGGAGTGGCGCAGTGGTCTAAGGCACTGCATCTCAGTGCTTGAGGCGTCACTACAGACCCCCTGGTTCAATTCCAGGCTATATCACAACCGGCCGTGATTGGGAGTCCCATAGGGCGGCGCACAATTGGCCCAGCGTCGTCCGGTTTAGCCTTCATTGTAAATACAAATGTGTTCTTAACAGATTTGCCTAATTAAATAAAGGTAAAATAATCTTGGCAGCACGATCGCTGATTTTTGTTTTTCAAAATAAGAGTCCCCCCTGCAAAGACACGCTAGACAGGGAATTTAATTTAATTTTGGCACTTTCTAAATAAATTCTGGTATAAATAATACAATATATATATGTTTAAGTATATCAAATTATCCATTTACTTTTTTCTAAGGTGATTGCAACCACCTCTGAAAAAATGTAAAAAATATATTGTATTATTTATACCAGAATTTGTTTAGAAAGTTTACACCAATACTGGTATGTTGAAAGCTATCGTGTAGGGTATATTTAAATAAATATACTTTTAATAAAATACAAATATATGTAATTGGAATAACTCAATTGAGTCTGCAAAACGTAAATTGGTCTCTTGTGCTGGGCAACGGGTTTAATACAATGTGCTGGTGACTCATTACTCCACCCACTCCATTCACTGCAATACAATGTACATGGAATTACATATTGGCTTATAGAGAAAAAAGTATTCTATGTGCTGAGGTAAAAGTGGGGTTGGGAATACTCCGTTGTAGGGTCTATATATGGTGTTATTACTTGGGGGCAGTGGCGGCTCCTGAAAAAATTCTCAGGGGGGGCAATTTTTCTGATGATTTAGGTGACCTACACACATTTTAAAAAAGATATGTCCAGCAACAACATGAAGACAGGGGCAGCATATAAGTCAATACCAGAAGCATTTATTGACTGATCTCAAAAGTGTTGGCTTACCAGGGTTGGTGGAGCCCTCAGTTTCATCTTTGCCTCGCAAAGCTAACTCAAACACTCCGCAAAACTTCACACACTGGATTAGCCGGCTGAGGATGTGGCGGTTCTTGCTAATGTCGTAGTAAATATATTTGTTATAGTGAATATGGAATATGATATGTTGAGTAAAATGTTGTGCTAAGATCTATTTAGGTCAGGAGCTGGTTATAAGTTCTGTTCCTATCCAATAACAATGGACAAAAGGGTCCTATCTTGTCAGCCTTGTCAGCAGGTGGCCAAGGACAACACCCACGCCATAGGCCTCTCAGTTCTTCCAACTCACGAGTTCTTGCTCTGAGGACACACACACACACACACACAAACACACACACACACACACACACACACATCATCACTGTTAAACACACACACACACACACACACACACACATCATCACTGTTAAACACACACACACACACACACACACAAAAATCCCCTCTCTTAGGCTGAACATTTGAAGACAGAGAACCCGACTCAGAGCCAATGCAACAGTGACAGTAGCCTGGAGGGGACCTCGCCCAACTCATCAGGACCAATCAGAAGATCAGAACTACTAGATTCAACCTACTTCATTTATTGCATAAAATGTCTGCACACAATGTTTCGGGGCTCTCTTCAGATAATAATAATAATAATAATAATAATAATATGCCATTTAGCAGACGCTTTTATCCAAAGCGACTTACAGTCATGCGTGCATACATTTTTGTGTATGGGTGGTCCCGGGGATCGAACCCACTACCTTGGCGTTACAAGCGCAGTGCTCTACCAGCTGAGCTACAGAAAGTGGATACTCATGGATGCGCATCGCAATTGTAAAATGTCAACACAATTGGAGACACCACGTCATTTTTGGAGACATGTTATTGACAGTAAACTATTGTAGATGCGACTGCTAACTAAATAAAACATTTTAGCTGGCTAGCTAATCATCTTAGCTAAATGTGGGGCAAACAATTCAGTTATTTACCGTTAATTTGAGGGATTGGGGTGAAAGAAATCGAGTTACATAGTGATACTTTACGATATACTGTATTGACAATATCGCAATATTTTAGCGCTAGTTGGCTGTACCTGCACCAAAACACCATTATTGTTCCTTCATAGCTTGTTCTCAATCTTTTCACATTGGGAGCCAATTTGTTTTCAGCACTTTTATTTCCATGACTGATCAAAACTCGTTCTCATGGCTTTCTGATCCCTCTGCAACAGACATATGGTGCGCAATAAAATCACAGTATCGAATCGCAATACGTATAGAATCATGAGACTCGCAATGCATATATCTTATCGTGAGGTTCCTGGCAATTCCCAGCCCAAGTTCATTTGCCACAACAAATCTCTTCGCTAGCAAACGCGATGTCTTCTCCAAAACGGCAATGTGTCTCCAGCAATGTTTACTTTTTTGACGTTCTATGGCATCTCCACTTTCCAAGCATATATGACCACATGTAATATTTTGGTAAGTGATGCAAATAGTGAACTATGTAGGGCCAGGATGTAAAATATATGTAGCTGCAGCAATTTCTCTTATCTGATATGGTAAGTAATGGGGCTTAATGTATAGCTCCCTAAGAGTTTGACGAACGGGTCCGTGCACGCGATTCCGGATATCTTTACCTCTGAATAAACTGCCTTTATTATACCATATCCACCCTGTCCAAAGTCTCTACTTGGTCTCAGTTCTCCAGTAAACTTGTGATTATCAACACTAACCTCATCGTTGTGGCGGCGGACAGCTAGCCTGTATCCCTCATCCAGTTGAGTGGCAATGTCTTTTTTCGTTCGTACCAATTTTTGGAAAATCCTCGGGTGTAGGACTTTCCGCCTTTAGTAGAAACCTGTTGAATTATTAAATTTGGTCTGGGAGGTCCAAATTGTTTCGTTGCCAATTTATCTTAATTTGTTCGCCGACAAAAAGGAACTTCTTTCAAAGACACAATCGAGTTGCACTGAACGCTATAGCCATCTTGATAGTAGTACGTTAATTGATTGATGAGGCTACCCGCTCTTTTCTTAGTTACGTTCATGGTTACGTTACGTATGACGAAAGCGCGTAAGTGCAAGCCCTCAGACACCCATAGAGATTGTATTGAAAGCTCTGAAATTTGAAAAAAATAGATTTTACATGGGAGTCTATGACAGACTTCTGGGCGATTTTCAACCTGACTGAAATCGCCCCAAAAGGGGGGGGAGCCATTTGAAGCACGACTTTAGCCTGATTGGATTGGACATTTAGTGGCAGTGTGGCACTGTGGCAGATCAGACGTCTAGATTACAACACTGATAACTACTGTTGCCGTGATATAATTGATTAGAAAAAAAATCCCTTCCTTTTCCTGTTTGGCAGTGCGTCGCCCATATCGCCCTATTGAACACACCGCCCCTGCTTGGGGGACTGAGGTCTAAATAGCCAGCAGCACTTTTTACTCCACCCATTCCATTGGTCCCATAGTGTATTCCATTGGTCCCATAGTGTATTCCATTGGTCCCATAGTGTATTCCATTGGTCCCATAGTGTATTCCATTGGTCCCATAGTGTATTCCATTGGTCCCATAGTTTATTCCATTGGTCCCATAGTGTATTCCATTGGTCCCATAGTGTATTGCGTTGGGACCAATGGTGTGGATGGAGTAGAAAGTGCTGCTGGGTATTTAGACCTCAGTCCCCCAAGTAATAACACCACAGAGACTCTACTAAGTATTCTGATCCCCACTTTCACCTCAGCACATAGAATAGTTCTCTACAGCCCAATGTTGTGAACATAACAATCTGAACATTGTATTTTCAATAGTTGTCTTAAATATGTTTTTAGAAGCATATTTGTAAGTTTCCATTAAGTCATTCTTGCATTTGCTTATAAGCACAATAAAAACATTGATTAAAATGAAATATCTTTTGAATTACACTGAACAAAAATCTAAAATGCAATATGTAAAGTTCTGGTTCCATTTTCATGAGCTGAAATAAAAGAACCCAGAAATGTTCCATACGCACAAAAAACGTATTTTGCTGAAATGTTTTGCACAAATTTGTTTACATCCCTGTTAGTGAGCATTTTATCCTTTGTTAAGATAATCCATCCACTTGACAGGTGTGGCATATCAAGAAGCAAAGCTCAGGAGTATTTCTGTCTGTAATAAAGCCTTTTTGTAGGGAAAAACTCATTCTGATTGGCTGGGTTTGGCTCCCTAGTGGGTCGGCCTGGCTCCAAGTGGGTGGGCCTATGACGTCCCATGCCCACCGTGTGGCAGCAGTGTGTAGGAGTGAGGTTCCAAGGTGTGAGAATGTGCAGAAGGGCATGAGACAAAGGAATGTGTAGCATTGGGGAAAGTAATGGTATGTGCTAATTGTAGGGGTGCCCATGGGGCTGGGGATCAGAAATGTCCCATGCGAGAGAGGCAGGTTGAGGTTTCCAGGGTAAGAGTAGTGAATAAGTTGTCATATGCTGAGGCAGTGAGGAAAGTAGAGGAAGATGGGTCAAGGGGGAGGAGTGGTGAGAGTAGTAGATATGTACCAGTACAGACGGATAGGCCAACAAGTGATGTATGTTTCCGTAAGATTGGATTATTAGCATTTATAGCAATGGTTATTAATTGTACTGCAGGGATGGAGCGTAAGTCTAAGAAAATTGAGGTTGTGGTGGCAACTGCAGAGAGGTATTTGGGTGTGCGAGACTTGACATCAGAAGAGTAACGGGGAGTGTTAAGTGGTAATGTTCCATCATTTCAGGTTGAGGGCATGAGGTAGGAATGAGTATATTTAAATAGTGGAGTAGGGTGGTGTTAATTATTAATACTATTTTTGAATTTGTGAGTGCAGTGTTAGATGGTAGGGTATTTATTTTATTTTCCAAGCAAAATATAAGGGAGTTGTACTCCAGTCTAGTAGGTGGCGGTAATGCATCAAATTGGATGCCAACCGCCATTAAACCTCATCGAAGAAGAAGTCCCATTCCCACCCATGGCTGTGCCCCTGCTCAGTCATGTGAAATCCATAGAATAGGGCCTAATGAATTTATTTCAATTGACTGATTTCCTTATATGAACTGTAACTCAGCAAAATATTTGAAATTGTTGCGTGTATATTTTTGTTCAGTATAATGATCCACATTGCAATGTTTAGAAATACGGGCCTTTAATTTGGAGGATTTATTACCATACAAATTGACGTAATCGTTTGTGCTGCTGGCAGAATAGTCTTGAAAATGAGTTACTGAGCTAGCTATAATCTCAGTAATTTCCGTCGAATATCACATAAAATCAACTCCGCTGCAGTGTACGGATGTGAACTGAACGAGTATGGTGTAAAGTTCCGATACATTTGAATGAATTGATCATCGCTAACAAGTCCTGCCGGAGAGTTGATCATGCTGAAAATGAAGCTGCCCATTCGAATAGCAGAAGGAGACCATACCGTCGAAGACGAGCAGGAAAATACCGATTGCAACAGTTACAGTATTGATTCGGTTCCATACTGTGGCGTGAGCCACCGGTTCAAACGTTCAACGAGGGAGTCATATCGCCTGTCGCAAATTGACAAGAAGGCTGTGTTTGAGTGGTTCGGCTTGCACCTCAGCCCAGCAAAGCGGATAGAGTTTATGTACGGACTACTTCATATGTGTCAACCACTTGAGATTCGCTTTTTGGGATCCTGTCTTGAGGACCTTGCACGGAAAGATGTCCACGTCCTCCGGGACTTTGAGATAACGGCAAACTGTCAAACCGATTTGGCCCTCCTTAAGGACGTTGCCGACCCTGTTGTGCGTTCCAAACTACTTGTCTACCTGTCACTTTTGCGATCTGGAAACAGAGAATGTGCGGACACACTGTATCGTGCTTTGAGAAATATAGATCCAGCGCTGTACTTAAATAGTTATCATGGCGTTCCATTATCTCCACGTGGTGCGAACACTCAGAATGTACCTGATCAACATTGCCCTTGCGAGGTTGGAATGGATTCTGGAAGTGTGGTGCATCCCAGCGCGACTCCACTGGAGGCAGAGTCGGGTTCCTTGGAGCACTTGGCGCTGCTTTTCTCCATGGCCTCGCTGCACCCTGCGTTCCCTTTTTACCAGAGGGATACTGTCAGACACCAGTTGGACAATGTGGAACGGGCCATAGAGGAGATCATGGATAGCCACAAACGCACGAGTGTCCAGGTAAACACCACTTGACAGTGGCATGTTTATAGTGACCGCCATTGTAAACAAACTCGTAGTATTTGGGACCGCGGGAGGAAGGGCTTTCTTGTCTTGTGATTAGAGTTGATAGTCTCGGGGTTAGGGCGGATTCCCGTGATTGACTGAAGTGAATTTAAGGTGGCTTCCTCATCTTACCTCCTCTCCTTAGTTTACCTCCTTAGCTACCCACTCCTTATTGTCACAGACTTGATTGAACTGGGCAGGTGAAAGGATCTAACTCCTCTGATTGGCTTCCACCACATTTACTATCCAATGTCATTAGATCATTACAGGTGAGGAAACGAGAAGAAAGCCAGTGAATTCACTACTGGACTATTGAGATGCACCCTCCGGGGGCCCCAATAAAACTTTCTGGACAGTTACTTTGACAATAATTAACTATATGTATTATAAAACAAAGACCACCCCTTTTTCTAAAATATTACTGGCCACCTTAGCCATAGGAATGAACAGATTACTTTTTAATCAAAGTCTATATAGAATCAACTATTCTCCATTTCAGTCATCTTAGTTTAGATGGCACAATGTAGCAATTTATTTCTGCTAAAGTGGGGCCAAATAATTGATGTAGGAATAGACTGTAATAGCATGTACTGTGAATAGGCTTGTGGGGTAAGTAAAGAGGTTCAAACATTTCATGCCAAGTAGTAATTCAAAGCACTGTTTCATTTCCAAGAACAGTCTTGAATGCATGGCCATATGACTACAGTCGTGGTCAAACGTTTTGAGAATGACACAAGTATTGGTCTTCACAAAGTTCGCTGCTTCAGTGTTATGAGATATTTTTGTCAGATGTTACTATGGTATACTGAAGTATAATTACAAGCATTCCATAAGTGTCAAAGGCTTTTATTGACAATTACATTAAGTTTATGCAAAGAGTCAATATTTGCAGTGTTGACCCTTCTTTTTCAAGACCTCTGCAATCCGCCGTGGCGGATTAACTTCTGGGTCACATCCTGACTGATGGCAGCCATTCTTGCATAATCAATGCTTGGAGTTTGTCAGAATTTGTGGGTTTTTGTTTGTCCACCCGCCTCTTGAGGATCGACCACAAGTTCTCAATGGGATTAAGGTCTGGGGAGTTTCCTGGCCATGGACCCAAAATGTTGATGTTTTGTTCCCAGAGCCACTTAGTTATCACTTTTGCCTTATGGCAAGGTGCTCCATCATGCTGGAAAAGGCATTGGTCATCACCAAACTGTTCTTGGATGGTTGGGAGAAGTTGCTCTCGGAGGATGTGTTGGTACCATTCTTTATTCATGGCTGTGTTCTTAGGCAAAATTGTGAGTGAGCCACTCCCTTGGCTGAGAAGCAACCCTACAGATAAATGGTCTCAGGATGCTTTACTGTTGGCATGACACAGGACTGATGGTAGCGCTCACCTTGTCTTTTCCGGACAAGGTGTTTTCCAGATGCCCCAAACAATCGGACAGGGGATTCATCAGAGAAAATGACTTTACCCCAGTCCTCAGCAGTCCAATCCCTGTACCTTTTGCAGAATATCAGTCTGTCCCTGATGTTTTTCCTGGAGAGTGGCTTCTTTGCTGCCGTTCTTGACACCAGGCCATCCTCCAAAAGTCTTCGCCTCACTGTACGTGCAGATGCACACACACCTGCCTGCTGCCATTCCTGAGCAAGCTCTGCACTGGTGGTGCCCCGATCCCGCAGCTGAATCAACTTTAGGAGACAGTCCTGGCGCTTGCTGGACTTTCTTGGGCGCCCTGACGCCTTCTTCACAACAATTGAACCTCTCCTTAAAGTGCTTGATGATCCGATAAATGGTTGATTTAGGTGCAATCTTACTAGCAGCAATATCCTTGCCTGTGAAGCCCTTTTTGTGCAAGGCAATGATGACGGCACGTGTTTCCTTGCAAGTAACCATGGTTAACAGAGGAAGAACAATGATTTCAAGCACCACCCTCCTTTTAAAGCTTCCAGTCTGTTATTCTAACTCAATCAGCATGACAGAGTGATCTCCAGCCTTGTCCTCGTCAACACTCTCACCTGTGTTAACGAGAGAATCACTGACATGATGGCAGCTGGTCCTTTTGTGGCAGGGATGAAATGCAGTGGAAATGTTATTCTTTTGGGATTAAGTTCATTTTCATGGCAAAGAGGGACTTTGCAATTCATCTGATCACTCTTCATCAGATTTTTCACTTTAAAATGTATACCAAACAAACACCATTTGATTTTAAACCATACAACTCTATGCACAAGGACTACTTTTAACCATTTCCACTGGACATTTTACAAAAACACATTTACAGAAATAACTGTGCAGATGCAAATTTTGGTAACAGAATTACGGTAAACTATCCCAGTTTTATTCTGTTACCGAACTTTGTATCTGCACAGTTCTTTCTGTAAATGTGTTTTTGTATGTTCAGTGGAAATGGTTAAACGTAGTTGTATGGTTTGTTAAACTTTGAAATCAATGGTGTTTGTTTGGTATACATTTTAAAGTGAAAAATCTGACAGTGTAATTCCGTTACCATGGAATTGCCCCCTGTGCACCAGGAGAATAGAGAGAGAGCTTATCTGGCTTTAGCAGACATGCTGGCCATGGCTACTGTGTCTTCTGTCATCTTGTCCACAGCAGCTAGCTAGCCTATAGGAATGGGAACACCCGGCATTCTTGTTTATGATTGCATTGTGATCTAACTTTGCATTGTGTTGGAGAAACCTCTTTCTCTCCCTATCTCTCTTTCTCTCTCTCACCCTCCCTCTCTTTCTCTCATCCAGTGAAAAAGCCAAGAGTTTTAATGAGACAGACATCCTCTTGCTCATCTGTCTGTCTGACTGCTCTCTTAAAGGGGCATTCTGTAATGCTGTCTTGGCTGGCTCTCAGCATAAAGACTTGTCTCATTCAGACAGTTAGTTTGCCTACACATCCCTGTGGATTGGCAGTATTTCTAATCCATATGGAGCTGACTTATGAATAGAAATTAAACTGAAAATAAGAAGAAAAAAAAGTATTTCTCAAAGCATGCGGAGAGAAGGAAATTAGTATTGGTTCCAGTTGTTCAGTGCTGTAAGGGGGCAGTTGTTTGGTGGGACTATGATTGAAAGGTATTTCACTGTACTTGTGCATGTGACATTAAAACTTGAAACTTGATTGGGGGAGAAAGCACAATTACATACTAAACCATCCATCTCTTCACTTTCCTGGTTGCAGCAGAAGCAGCACGCCCTTCGAAGGGAGGACCTCAGCCCCAGGAGCACTGACATGGGTCAGTCGGGCTGCTGTATTCCCAATCAGCTCCCCAACAGGAGATCATCCCAGAGAGAAGGTAGTCTCAATCCTGTTTGTCATTGTGTCCTCTGAGGTCTCTCATTCCCATGTTGAGAGGATTGTTCAAAACAAGATGTATTTGAGCCTAGTGCATTTGAGGTGAAACAAGAGACCCAAACAAATGGTCAGATATGATACAATAGACAGGATATATTTTAAATTATCTGTATTTTTAACAGTAATCAAAATTACATTGAGATGAACACAGTGGCGTACTGCAGGTTTTTGGAAAACAGTTAACTTCCTGTAATTCTACACATTCTGCCATGGGGCAAAGAGAAAAATGTGCAAAATGTTCCTGTTTTAAAGCAAATCTCCTGCAATTCTACACATTTTTGCCATGGGGCATAAAATATTGCATAAACAATCTGAAGCTCAGGTTAAAATAGTTGCTGTTTTATAGCTAACTCATGCTATTCTACACATTTTGCCATGAGGCTAAGGAAACCATTTTCATTTTCAAAGCTAATGTCCTGCAATGAATTGCTCAAAAAAATAACCCTGGTCTTCTTTCTTCCTGCAGCAGTTCACATTGACAAGATTGTGCTAAAGAGGATATCTTGGAACCGAGTAAACAGTGAATACAGTATTGAGGTATGTATGTTCATGTTTGGACTCTGTGCCTTGGTATGTTATTTTTTTGTATTGTTTATTCTGATATTCCTGTGTATTTTATTTCTCATACATTTTGAGGCATACCCCCTGAAGGATCTAGGTATACTTTATTTGTATTAGGCCTATATATCGTGGGCCACCAGATTACTTCGTGCTCCCTCCCATTCAGATGATGGCACTGACAAAACGTTTGTCCTGAGCTTCAGATTGTTCATGCAATATAGTATTTTTTTTTGTATAATTTTTTCTCTGTAAATCATGCAATGTTCTCTTACAACATCTGAACAGGCAGAGATCTAAGACTTTGCCTGGCCCTTAATCAACAGTCAGTGCTGTATGGCCAGGCATCATTGTGACAGGCAGGACTGTGCTGAGGAGTCGGTGAGGGGGAGGAGGAGAGCAAGACATAGAGAGCCAGGCTAAATAGGACAGCAGGAAGGATTGCGCCCCCCTATTCACATGCTGTCCTCCGTTGCATGAGAACACAATCTGGTGGAAATATGTCCTAGATCGTTTGCGACTTCAAAACATCTGCCGTGACTGTTTTTACAAGCCTGCGGCGGCATCATATCAGCCTATAAAAACGTAAAGTCTTCAATTTAGACTAGAGGGTTGAAGGACTTGAGGTTAGCTCCAATATTTTACAACACTGAGATCATGAGAGGGGTCATCTTGACTGCCTTCGATCAGACAGCCGTAGTAGTAACAAAATAGACTAATATATCTGACCAAGGTTGTCCTTATCTGTGGACTAGTCATGTAGCTTGTTGAGTAGTTAGACCAAACTACCAACACATTCTAACACTAAACGGTTAAAATCAGATCTGCGTTATGTGGATAGCAAAATAGGCTATATTGAGGAGACTTCTGAATAACACCAGTTAAAGGAATAGTCCACACAAAAACTATATTTTGGTATTTGTTTCATTAGTCCATTGTTGACATGGTCCCAAAATTTTTTGCATGTCACCAATCAAGTTTTCAAGATATAAACTCAGCAAAAAAAGAAACATCCTCTCACTGTCAATTGCGTTTATTTTCAGCAAACTTAATGTGTAAATATTTGTACATAACAAGATTCAACAACTGAGACGTAAATTGAACAAGTTCCACAGACATGTGACTAACAGAAATTGAATAATGTGTCCCTGAACAAAGGGGGGGTCAAAATCAAAAGTAACAGTCAGTATCTGGTGTGGCCACCAGCTGCATTAAGTACTGCAGTGCATCTCCTCCTCATGGACTGCACCAGATTTGCCAGTTCTTGCTGTGAGATGTTACCCCACTCTTCCACCAAGGCACCTGCAAGTTCCCAGACATTTCTGGGGAGAATGGCCCTAGCCCTCACCCTCCGATCCAACAGGTCCCAGACGTGCTCAATGGGATTGAGATCCGGGCTCTTCGCTGGCCATGGCAGAACACTGACATTCCTGTCTTGCAGGAAATCACGCACAGAACGAGCAGTATGGCTGGTGGCATTGTCATGCTGGAGGGTTATGTCAGGATGAGCCTGCAGGAAGGGTACCACATGAGGGAGGAGGATGTTTTTCCTGTAACGACCGCGTTGAGATTGCCTGCAATGACAACAAGCTCAGTCAGATGATGCTGTGACACACCGCCCCAGACCATGACGGACCCTCCACCTCCAAATCGATCCCGCTCCAGAGTACAGGCCTCGGTGTAACGCTCATTCCTTCGAAGATAAACGCGAATCCGACCATCACCCCTGGTGAGACAAAACCGCGACTCATCAGTGAAGAGCACTTTTTGCCAGTCCTGTCAGGTCCAGCGATGGTGGGTTTGTACCCATAGGCGACGTTGTTGCCGGTGATGTCTGGTGAGGACCTGCCTTACAACAGGGCTACAAGCCCTCAGTCCAGCCTCTCTCAGCCTATTGCGGACAGTCTGAGCACTGATGGAAGGATTGTGCGTTCCTGGTGTAACTCGGGCAGTTGTTGTTGCCATCCTGTACCTGTACCTGTGATGTTCGGATGTACCGATCCTGTGCAGTTGTTGTTACACGTGGTCTGCCACTGCGTGGACGATCAGCTGTCCGTCCTGTCTCCCTGTAGCGCTGTCTTAGGCGTCTCACAGTACGGACATTGCAATTTATTGCCCTGTCCACATCTGTAGTCCTCATGCCTCCTTGCAGCATGCCTAAGGCATGTTCACGCAGATGAGCAGGGACCCTGGGCATCTTTCTTTTGGTGTTTTTCAGAGTCAGTAGAAAGGCCCATTTTAGTGTCCTAAGTTTTCATATCTGTGACCTTAATTGCCTACCGTCTGTAAGCTGTTAGTGTCTTAACGACCGTTCCACAGGTGCATGTTCATTAATTGATAATGGTTAATTGAACAAGCATGGGAAACAGTGTTTAAACCCTTTACCATGAAGATCTGTGAAGTTATTTGAATTTTTACGAATTATCTTTGAAAGACAAGGTCCTGAAAAAGGGAAGTTTATTTTTTTGCTTAGTCTGCTCTACAGAGACCGTGGTCCTGAGTGTGCACACTAGTGTGACTGTGTGGAGGTGTGTGTGTCACTGATATGAATGTCTAGGCCTTGACCCAATACCGTCATCATCTAGCCCATCTATGTGGATGGGCTGAATGAAGTGAGGGATTTTTATAGAGGATTTCCCTTGGTCTATGGGAGAGAGATCTCTCAGACGAGAGGTTTGTGTCCAACAGGGCATAGATAGAACCTCACTTTCCAGTTTTTTTGGGTGGTAGAGAAGTAGAAGGGTTTAATATGTTATTGAACCCTACTGTCTTATAGCCTACTTGAAAAGGATGCACTAATATAGCAGTTAAGAGGCACTGTACAACCTGTGTTAGAAATCAACTGGCACATTCTTGGCTGAAATGTGGAGGGGGACAGTGATAAAATGTTACCAGCCAGTGCTACAAACAAACAAACAAACGAACGAGAGTGAGAGAGAGAGAGGGGTGGCTTGCTGGGCAGTGCCATCTGCTCTGCTGGGCATGGTATATGAGTGGGGGTATTAATATGTTAAAGAGAAGAGAACATCATCTTCAGCACAGGAGGCACTCTGTCTACTCTAGGCCTGTTGTGGATAACAACACAGCTAAGAGTAGCCTGTACAACTAAGGCAGGCCTGTGCTGAACTCTACAGAGTTTGGTGTAAAACAATGCTGTGAGAGGAAGCCTAGGCTTAGGCTATTTACTGGCTGAATTGTTTCACATTCATTCAGTGTTATTCACGTTTCTACCAAGGCGATAGTAATTACATCCTAGGTTACTTATTTGTTCTAAACTGAATAATAAAAGGGTTGGTTGTCTTGTCGCCCTGATCAGAGAGGACTTACTGGGTTTAAAACACTCATTCATCACCGGTTTGTGAGCTCACTGTTTTCCTTATCTCTCCTTTTGTGAAGACCAGACATACAGTGGCTTGCAAAAGTATTCACCCCCCACCCCCCCAAGGCAAAATTAAAATGGATTTTTTTTGGGGGGGGGGTTGTATCATTTCATTTACACAACATGCCTACCACTTTGAAGATGCTAAATATTTTTTGGGGTGAAACAAACAAGAAATAAGACATAAAAACAGGGAATTTGAGCATGCATAACTATTCACCCCCCCAAAGTCAATACTTTGTAGAGCCACCTTTTGCAGAAATTACAGCTGCAAGTCTCTTGGGGTATGTCTCTATAAGCTTTGCACATCTAGCCACTGGGATTTTTGCCCATTCTTCAAGGCAAAACTGTTCCAGCTCCTTCAAGTTGGATGGGTTCCGCTGGTGTACAGCAATCTTTAAGTCATACCACAGATTCTCAATTGGATTGGGGTCTGGGCTTTGACTAGGCCATTCCAATACATTTAAATGTTTCCCCTTAAACCACTCGAGTGTTGCTTTAGCAGTATGCTTAGGGTCATTGTCCTGCTTGAAGGTGAACCTCCATCCCAGTCTCAAATCTCTGGAAGACTGAAACAGGTTTCCCTCAAGAATTTCCCTGTATTTAGCGCCATCCATCATTCCTTCAATTCTGACCAGTTTCCCAGTCCCTGCCAATAAAAAACATCCCCACAGCATGATGTTGCCACCACCATGCTTCACTGTGGGGATGGTGTTCTCAGGTGATGAGAGGTGTTGGGTTTGCGCCAGACATAGCGTTTTCCTTGATGGCCAAAAAGCTCAATTTTAGTCTCATCTGACTAGAGTACCTTCTTCCATATGTTTGGGGAGTCTCCCACATGCCTTTTGGCGAACACCAAACGTGTTTGCTTATTTTTTTCTTTAAGGAATGGCTTTTTTCTGGCCATTCTTCCGTAAAGCCCAGCTCTGTGGAGTGTACGGCTTAAAGTGGTCCTATGGACAGATACTCCAATCTCCGCTATGGAGCATTGCAGCTCCTTCAGGGTTATCATTGGTGTCTTTGTTGCCTCTCTAATTATTTTTTTATAATGGATTTAATGGTGCTCTGTGGGATGTTCAAAGTTTCTGATATTTTTTTATAACCCAACCCTGATCTGTACTTCTCCACAACTTTGTCCCTGACCTGTTTGGAGAGCTCCTAGGTCTTCATGGTGCCCCTTGCTTAGTGGTGTTGCAGACTGGGGCCTTTCAGAACAGGTGTGTATATATACTGAGATCATGTGACAGATGATGTGACACTTAGATTGCACACAGGTGGACTTTATTTAACTAATTATGTGACTTCTGAAGGTAATTGGTTGCACCAGATCTTATTTAGGGGCTTCATAGCAAAGGGGGTGTATACATATGCACGCACCACTTTTCTGTTATTTATTTTTTAGAATTTTTTGAAACAAGTTATTTTTTTCATTCCACTTCACCAATTTGGACTATTTTGTGTATGTCCATTACATGAAATCCAAATAAAAATCAATTTAAATTACAGGTTGTAATGCAACAAAATAGGAAAAACGCCAAGGGGGATGAATACTTTTGCAAGGCACTGTACTAGACAAGCACTACTTCCTGTGACCAGCTTGAACTGGGCCTACAAATCAGACATTAGTATTCAGAGGCTAAGACTGGAAGCTGCTCAAGTGTTGAAAGCAGTTTACGAGATGTAGACAAACACATCTACACCCTGTGTAAAATGAATAATTTTTGATAATTTACTCGTCGGCTGAGGATGTTGCCCAAGCATTCCTCAATCCCCTGTACTCCCTGTACACTCCTCTATCAGGGAGTAAATTACTCCCATAACCATTTCTTGCTTTGTTCTGGCTTGTTAAGTTGTAATTTGAACTTGACAAAGAGCAACAGATTTGTGATATCACATTTAAAGCTGATGAGTGCCTTTGCATTCACCTTTGTCAGATCAGGGATCAAGATGAAGATGGAATAGGGTGCCATTTGGGACTCCTCTCAGCCATTTGCACTGTTTCCCCTATAATATTTTCAGCAGCGGTGGCAAAGTTTGCTAGGGGGGTCCGGGAGCACCAAAACATTTTAGAGGCCCTCGTCTTTTTTTTATTTATAACTAATTACCTGTAATTATACACATTTTGCCCTGGGGCGAAAAATAATAATAATCACATTTTAAAGATGCACTTTGCAGAAATCGCTCCGCAATTTCCTGGTTGCTAAAATTCAAACAATCAAGTATAGTGTAGGGAATCATTGTACCATCTAAACCGCTGTGAAATATATTTTCCATCACCGAAAATATTGTTACTCTGTGATGGGTTTGGCCGGTGAAGGCCGTCATTGTAAATAAGAATTTGTTCTTAACTGACTTGCCTAGTTAAATGAAGGTAAAATGTTTTTTTTTTTTGTTTTTTTTTTTTTAAATGAACAGGGTAGAGTAGAGACTGCCAGGCTGTGAAATAGCTGTTTTTAAATTGACACAATACCTGTTAGCAAAGGTGTCAGCTAGAGATTACGTGCAGGAGCTTGCAGGAATTTGTAGTTTTGCATGATGTCTACTTTGATGCTAATTAGCATTTTCGAATCTGAGAGTAGATCGAGCTGAAAAAAAGTCACCTTGTCCTAGAGAGATTTACACGGTTATCAAAACGTCACTCCAGGGTAAGCCTACACGAAACACGGCCATTACTTTAAGTGTTTCTAAAATACACAATGGGAAAAATGAATGGTGGAGAAACGATTGGAGCCATTTCCCTGTTTGACCGCTAGGTTTTATGGGTATTATGACTCATACTGTGGTACTCTATTGCATCATGCTGTCGAAAGCGATGTATCTGATGTGTGTTTGGTAAAGCATACTTATGATGTGATGTCGTCTCCCTCTCCTCCCCTCTTCTAGGTCCAGTGGTCTGACTCAACATGGACCACAGTGACCAAGACTCACCATGAGCTGGACGACTTCCTTTCCAAGGTACAATGAAAAACACATATTCCCATCAATAGATTATAGGCCTAGAATATACTGGATTTAATGTCAGGTGAAATTAAGTCACTATCTGTACGGAGAGGTCTCTACATTTTACATTTACATTTTAGTCATTTAGCAGACGCTCTTATCCAGAGCGACTTACAGTTAGTGAGTGCATACATTTTTCTACTGGCCCCCCGTGGGAATCGAACCCACAACCCTGGCGTTGCAAGCGCCATGCTCTACCAATTGAGCTACAGGAGGCTCTAGATGTTGTCTTATAAAGGTCAACCCAGATGCAGGGTTTACTTTCCAAATGTTTTCATGTGTTTTCTAGTCACTGAATGCTGATAGGACTAATGCTAATACTGTGACATACTGTATTCAAATGTATTTCTTCATCTAGCTTAATGTATACCCCTAAATGTTGTATGAATATATGTATGTCTATGATAACCGCTCATATGATTCCCTGAACCCCATACAGCTTCCATGTGAGAGGTCCACTGAGCCCTTTGAGAAGGGACTGGTGAGGTTACTGGCCCAGGGAGACCAGTATGAGCCCAGGGACCTGGAGAGGACGCTACAGTGAGTTTCGCTCTTTGTTTGATCATTCAGCTCAGAGCAGCACAAAGCATGATGGGAAATCTCAATAGTTTTTATCATGTCAATAAAAAAATCAATTAAATATATACAGTATATACTTGAAGGTCAAGCACTTTCCTGTTAACTTTTTTACATCTTTCTTTACTCTCAAGCCTCAATATTGTGGAGAAAGTAGAGTAGACTACCCTCTAGTTATTGTTACCAACGCTGCCATAAGCTCCAGTGTTGTCAGTTATGGTTATGGTGAAGAACCTCAGGCTTCACATATGTCAGAACCATAGAACCCAGGCATTGATATCTAGGACAATGGTGATGATGTCATTACCAGAGGGATTCGCTGGCCATCCTTTACAGATATGGATGGGATCACTTTTTCCACTCCCTCTCTTCCACTCCCATTCAAGCCCCACCAGCACTTTGTGACTTCCCACTCGAAGTGTACCATAACCGTACCTTGCTATTTGATGTACTAGTATACAACCAGTGATCTGACACATGACATTACAATTTCCAAGTCACCTTCTCTCTTTCTCTTTCCCGCTGTATAATTTACATCTTTAACTCCCCCTCATCTCTCTCCACTGTGACAGGGAGATGCTTCTGTCAGCCCCAGCAGCCTTCAGGCAGAGAGGAGAGGTCTGCAGGTTCCTCCTCCCCCACTGCAGCCACTGTAAGTGTCTGTGCCCCTGGCTCAGCCTTCAGGGAGGTGAGATATCATATGCTCCACTGACCTGTACAGGAATGCATGTCTACATGAACCATCCACCTGATTTATTAGGGATACCTAGGAACTCAGAGCACAATTACCCCTCTCTCTTCTATAATAATTTGTATGTGGATTGATGTGGTCAGTTCCACATGACTAATCATAACAATTAATGACTTCTCAGTCATCCTCTCCATATTTTTCACGGCCTTTGATAACAACGCCCTGAGCCCAGTTTCAATAGTGCTCCCAGAGGACAGGTAAATCCTCCAGAAATAAAACACACACTTCTTGGTGGCAAGCTAAGATAAATAAACCCAGCTTCACAGTGAACAGCTCTCAGCATAGCTGCAGGGCCAGGAGGCTGTTTTACCACATTCAACCCCAGCCATTATCAATTGACTTACTGAAATAATTATTGACAATGTTTCCTCCCACCTCTGACCATTCAAGGGAATACATTGCTGGTTGGTTTCACACAGCTGCATCAAATTGACCACAGAAATTCATAAACCAATAATTACTTTTTTGGTTAGTGCCGTGGAAAAGCTGTAATGTTATGTAGGCTGGAGGTCTCTTGTCGCCCATTCCCTAATATCTCACCATCCGGGCTCTCCTACCCAGATAATACAGTACCTCCAGGAAAGACCTGGAAGGCACCCGAGCACTTTAAAGAAGACTGCACCGAGCCATCCAGTCAGGACCAAGGTGTGTGTGCTATTGTTTCTATTGTCTTTATGCTAAATAAACCATTACTCTGCCTGTCTGTCATTCTATGTGGGGTTGAAATGACACAGTGTGTGTAAATGGCTATTTCATACAGACAGATATTTGTTGCCGGTAGTTGAAGTTCACTAGTACTTCTCTCTCGTCATTCTCCTCACCCTGACATAGGGGCTCACCCCCTAGGGCATCAGACGACGTGCAGCAGCAAGAGCCTAGCACAGAGGTAAGAGCACTATCTGTTCAGTCCAAGACATGTGACCTTGTGGCTGATGCACTGATGGGTTATACTAAGAGGATCCCTCCCTTCTATTTACAGCACACTGCTGACAAAGAGCAGCCAGAGGCCTGCTGTTCACTCAGAGCACAACGGAGTGGTGGAGAGGAGGAGGGAACCAGGCATCCTGTCCTGTAGGCTAGACCCACATCAGGTCAGTCACACTGGCCTCCCCTTTCTCTCCCTGGCCTGGCCACTAGAGATACTGGTAGGGTGGCGGTGGAGGACTGTCAAAGTGCTGTATACTGCTGACTGGCATTTGTTATTTTTTGTTTGATTCAATAATACTCCTTTGCATCTGTTTAGGGTGTTAAATGACCTCCTCTCTCTTCAGAACGCAGATGAGAAATGGGCTTTCACTCCAGAAAGGATGAGTAGAAGAAGACTTGATGGAAGGAGAAGTGAGGGGGCTAAAGGCTACATTATCAGACCACAGTCAACACACATGACCAGACAGGGTGTCAGTAAGAGTAAGTAACCAGTGGGTGTGGCAATAGCCTATCCTATTTGTTTTCCAACTTAACAATGAACATTATAACAACATGTATGTTGTGCATTCCTTTACCACTGTAGAGCCGGTCCAGGACAGGTATGGAGACACGTGGTCCAATAGCTCCAGTACTCCCTCCAGTTCCCAGCACGAGGCACATGAGAGCCTGGAGGATCTGGAGGACAAGAGAGGTGAGTGGCCCCTCTAAACCCTGTCTGTCCCCCTCTCTTTCCTGTTGGGAACTCATGGGGATTAATCCTAGTCTAAATAGCACTTTCAATGGAGATTCTCCATTTAGTCAAGGACAAGAACTTAACTGGGTCTGGGAAACCGGCCCATGACGTCTGAGTCTTTAGTGCTGTTCAACCTCAAGATGTCTTTTAATGATAGCTTCTCTCTCCCCCAGACACTGCTGAGAGTTACTCAGACCACTCTGTCCAGGAGAAGAGGGCGAGTGATCACAGCAGGGGGGAGGTTGTAGCTACTGTACCCCCTATAGTCCCTGTCCCCCACAAGGAAGAGCCATCGTACACTGGCAGTCCCCTGAGTGTACATCCTCTACCAATGACGGTCCAGAATGGGCCAACCATGCCAGACGGGATGGTCACAGTCCCTCCACAGCCGGGGAACGGTTCACCAGCAGAGGGGGCAATGACTGGGACCACCCCCATGGTTCCTCAGGAGTCCATCTCAAGCCAAGCTCCCCTGGGAGACCCTGAGAGACAGAGGCATGTGTCTGTGTCTGCCTCCCTGAGCTCACCTCAGCCAACCAATGCAAGCTTCAGCATTCACCCCATGCCCCAGCATTATAGGACCCCCACCAGCCCAGAGAGTAGAAGCACTAACCCCCAGCACCAGCCCCCCATTAGCGCCATCAGTGTCATCCCTCTGACCTTCCACATGTCCCCCCTGATGCCAGCATACACCAGCACTGACCCAGCCTCCACCGCCACCCTACCCCTAACAGCCTCTCTCCCTGACTCTAGCACCGGGCCCCAAGCCCTGGCTGCGCCCACCAGCCTACCCACCCCTACCACCGTGACACCCTCCTCAGGGGCCACTGTCACCCCAGCTGCCATCAGACAGGTTCAGGCCACTCTGCCCCCAGCCGTCCCCACTCACACCCCCGGCACCGTTGCCAGCCCAGCCCTGACCCTCACCCACAGCACGGCCCAGGGAGATGGCACCTCTTCCTGCAGCAGCTCTGGGGTGGCAGCAGGGCAGACCCAGCAAAAGCCGCAGCCCCAGCAAAAGGCCCACCCTCCACAGCAACAGCAGATGAGCTGCAACACCTGCGGTTGCCGTGGCAGCTGTGGTAGTAGCCACTCTGCTGCCCCCAACCCCAACTTCTACTTCCCTTCCCAGCTGGGGCACCAGGTCTTCAGCGCCACCCACTTCCCTCTCTTCCACCTCCCGTCCATGTGCAGCACTGGATACCCCAGCCACCGCAGCCAGGTCCAACGCCAGAGCAACGGCACCACCCAGCTACCCTTCTACCCCCCTCCACCTCACACGGCCAACCCCACCTTTACGCCACCGCAATACAACAGTGGACCACTGCTCCACACCACCCACTCCCACTCTGACCACATGCTGGCCACCCAGCCTGGATACAACCTGCAGCAGATGGCAGCTGCTCCCTTCAACCGCTTCTACACGCCCATGTTCTCCTCGGTGGGCATGAAGAAGAGCAGTGCCAACGTCTCTTGCTATAACTGTGGGCTAAGCGGGCATTATGCCCAGGACTGCAAACAACCCTCCATGGATGCTGGGCAGCAAGGTAATACTGGCCAGGCTAGTGGCAGAGAGAGAAGGTGAAGTCTCGTACAGTGAGAGCAGAGAAAATAAGGGATTCCTCTTCCTTAGTTTCAGCGTAGGAAGGCAAAGCTTTATTTGGTAACCTGTTTTTTTCACTGTCCAACATTTTTATGTCCGAAGCTGGATTGTCTGAATGAGCTAAAGAGCTCTATTAAACACCCAGGCCAAGTGTTAAAACATATTTTGATAGGACTGACTCTGAATCTGAAAGACTAGCATAGACTATGGACATCACATTTCTTTAGGTTACTTGTTGACTGGTTTGGCACGCAACACTGACGCACTCCTCTGTGTGTGTGCGCGTGTGTGTTTCAGGTGGCTTTCGGCTGAAGTACACGGGCCCCCACTCCTTTGAAGCAGACTAAACTGACTGACATGAGAGGGGACCAAGACAATGCTTTGTTTATCTCACTTACTACAGTAAAGATTCCAGAAACCCATTGTTTTCAAGGGTTGAGGTTTTCACCAATTGTATTACCTTGCAAATATCCTGACTTGTTTCTCAGCAAAGGATGGAATCCTGTATAATTCTCAGACTTTTCAGAGGACGGTGGTATTTTGCACTGGAGACAAGTACGAGACAGGCTCACGTTTCCAGACTAGTCTCTTACTTTAAAGAAAGAAAACCGCGTCTTTAAATGGTGTGGTGGTAAACTTACATTTAATAAGGATTAATGGATTGAGTGAAGGTTTTTCTATTCAAATTTCAATGCAGGTCTTTTTAGTACATTTCAATTCTTCCAGAATCTGCCTTTGGTTCAAGTCATTATACGTTAGACTAAGGAGCCTATATCACTTAAAGCATTTTATGTTTTCAAGTCTCTGTTCTCCCTGTCAGTGCCTCACAGAGAAAAGATGGAGAGGGTTTTACAATTTAGTCATTTAGCAGACGCTCTTATCCAGAGCGACAAACAGTAATGAGTGCGTACAGTTTCATACTTTTTTGTATTATCTCACAGGTGTTCAAAGGCAAGATACGGTTTCAAAGCAGCTAGTAGTTAAACCTACCAGCTAATTTTCATTTTATTTATTTATTTGAGAACAAAATGCACTACCGGTCAAAAGTTTTAGAACACCTACTCATTCAAGGGTTTTTCTTTATTTTTACTATTTTCTACATTGTAGAATAAAAGTGAAGACATCAAAACTATGAAATAACACATGGAATCATAGTAACTAAAAAAGTGTTAAACAAATCAAAATATATTTTATATTTCAGATTCTTCAAATAGCCACCTCTTGGCATTCTCTCAACCAGCTTCACCTGGAATGCTTTTCCAACAGTCTTGAAGGAGTTCCCACATATGCTGAGCACTTGTTGGCTGCTTTTCCTTCACTCTGCGGTCCGACTCATCACAAACCATCTCAATTGGGTTGAGGTCGGGGGATTGTGGAGGCCAGGTCATCTGATGCAGCACTCCATCACTCTACTTCTTGGTCAAATATCCCTAACACAGCCTGGAGGTGTATTGGGTCATTGTCCTGTTGAAAAACAAATGATAGTCCCACTAAGCCCAAACCAGATAGGATGGCGTATCACTGCAGAATGCTGTGGTAGCCCTGCTGGTTAAGTGTGCCTTGAATTCTAAATAAATCACAGACAGTGTCACCAGCAAAGCACCCCTACACCATAACACCACCTCCTCCATGCTTTATGGTGGGTAATACACATGCAAAGATCATCCGTTCACCCACAGTTTCTCACAAAGACACAGCAGTTGGAACCAAAAATCTCAAATTTGGACTACAGATCAAAGGACACATTTCCACCGGTTTAATGTCCATTGCTCATGTTTCTTGGGACTAAGCAAGTTTCTTCTTATTGGTGTCCTTTGGTAGTGCTTTCTTTGCAGCAATTCGACCATGAAGGCCTGATTCACACAGTCCCCTCTGAACAGTTGATGTTGATGTGTCTGTTACTTGAACTCTGTGAAGCATTTATTTGGGCTGCAACTTCTGAGGCTGGTAACTCTAATGACCTTAACCTTTGCAGCAGAGGTAACTCTGGGTCTTCCATTCCTGTGGCGGTCCTCATGAGAGCCAGTTTCATCATAGCGCTTGATGGTTTTTGCGACTGCACTTGAAGAAACGTTCAAAGTTCTTGAAATGTTCCGTATTGACTGACCTTCATGTCTTAGTGATGATTGACTGTTGTTTCCCTTGAGTTGTTCTTTCCATAATATGGACTTGGTCTTTTACCAAATAGGGCTATCTTCTGTATACCACCCCTACCTTGTCACAACACAACTGATTGGCTCAAATGCATTAAGGAGAAAAGAAATTCCACAAATTAACTTTTAACAAGGCACACCTGTTAATTGAAATGCATTCCAGGTGACTACCTCATGAAGCTGATTGAGAGAATGCCAAGAGTGTGCAAAGCTGTCATCAAGGCAAAGGGTAGCTATTTGAAGAATCTCATATGTTTTGATTTGTTTAACACTTTCTTGGTTACTACATGATTCCATATGTGTTATTTCATGGTTTTGATGTCTTCACTATTATTCTACAATGTAGAAAACCCTTGAATGAATGAGTAGGTGTTCTAAAACCTTTGACCGGTAGTGTATGAACTTCACACGCTCTTATTTTTTTGGGGATTGTGATAAAGCAGAGAGAAGATGCATGGTTTATAAGATAAAGTATGTATGTAATAATTAGGTTTTTGACAGAATATGCTGAATGTACCATCAATACCCTGTATTTGATTTGTTTTACAAGCTAACGGTTTTCCATTTGAGGGAAGTCTTTGTACGAAAAAAGTAATCGTTTTATTGCCATTTGTTGCCACTTGATATAATGTGTATTAAGTCAGTCATGTCTCATTCATGATGTTAATGCAGCTGTTTGGTTTGTTTCCTGGGGGCAGAAATGCACTAATTGGTGTGGGTGAGTCATGTCCCCAATGCTCTCAGGCAATGAGAGGACTCTTGTGGTTGTATCCCTTGAGCGTCTCTCTAGGAAGAGATTTATTGAGGTCCAAATCAAGCCCCCACCCCTACCCCCACCCCCTAGGCACTTGTGTCGATCCAAAATCAACCCGGCACTTTGGAAATCTGAAAACATTGGATAGGTTAAATCAATGGTGAAAGCTTTACCTGGGCTTGCCTTCTGATAAGCCAAGTGGAACTATTGCCATATTGCTTTCACCTATACAATCCTTTCTGATCTCCACAAGTGTATAGGGTGTAAGGGCTAGGGGTTGATTTTGGATTGGGCTACAGAATCAATGGTCCCTTGTCCTACCGCCATGCATGTACTGGACCTGTTGAATGTGTGACTCCTGCCTGTTTGTGAAGGCTTGTGTCAAGCTCTTTGTTGCCAGAACTTATGTGCCAGATTCCTCCTTTCTCATGCAGCAAGGAGGTTGTATTATGCATGTAAGTGTATATTTGTGCACAGCTTTAAGGGGCTAACTTCACACACATGCTCTACCTGTTTGATGGACTACTATACGGATAACTTCTGTATTAGAAAAAAGGTAACACTGTTGTTTATGGGATTGAAAGCCTCTTCTCTTTCACTGTCCGTTGAGGTGGATTGTTTTGTTTTCCACACACAAACACACGGGCACAAAATGTGTAAACTATTTGAAATTACATGCAGGTAAAATGACTCAGTTTTATAAAGTGGAACGTGTCCTCTGTTTTTCTGTAATCAGCTTTTCTGATTTACATTTACGTCATTTAGCAGACGCTCTTATCCAGAGCGACTTACTGAATCATTTTATTATTATTATTTTATTTGTTAGTGTTTTGTATTGGATTTCAGAGGCCTGGTTGTTTACTTTATTTTAATGAATATCTTTATTTTGATAAAGAACATTAAAGTTGAAAGAGGAAAAAAAGACAATCCTGTGTTGTATTTGTTGAACTTTTCTATGGTTAAAGATGCTTTGCTATAGATTGAGGTAGTGTTACCTCTGGTGCAATTACTGTGTTACTAAATGTCAACATATACAGTTGCTTGAGAAAGTATTCACCCCCTTGGCAATTGTCCTATTTTGTTGCCTTACAACCTGGAATTAAAATGGATTTTTGGGGGGGTTGTATCATTTGATTTACACAACATGCCTACCACTTTGAAGATGATACATATTTTTTATTGTGAAACAAACAAGAAATAAGAAAAAAAAACAGAACTTGAGCGTGCATAACTATTCACCCCCCCAAAGTCAATACTTTGTAGAGCCACCTTTTGCAGCAACTACAGCTGCAAGTCTCTTGGGGTATGTCTCTATAAGCTTGGCACATCTAGCCACTGGGATTTTTGCCCATTCTTCAAGGCAAAACTGCTCCAGCTCCTTCAAGTTGGATGGGTTCTGCTGGTGTACAGCAATCTTTGTCATACCACAGATTCTCAATTGGATTGAGGTCTGGGCTTTGACAAGGCCATGCCAAGACATTTATATGTTTCCCTTAAACCACTTGAGTGTTGCTTTAGCAGTATGCTTAGGGTCATTGTCCTGCTGGAAGGTGAACCTTCGTCCCAGTCTCAAATCTCTGGAAGACTGAAACAGGTTTCCCTGAAGAATTTCCCTGTATTTAGCGCAATCCATCATTCCTTCAATTCTGACCAGTTTCCTAGTCCCTGCCGATGGAAAAACATTCCCACAGCATGATGCTGTCACCACCATGCTTCACTGTGGAGATGGTGTTCTCAGGGTGATGAGAGGTGTTGGGTTTGCGCCAGACATAGCGTTTTCCTTGATGGCCAAAAAGCTAAATTTTAGTCTAATCTGACCAGAGTACCTTCTTCTATATGTTTGGGGAGTCTCCCACATGCCTTTAGTGAACACCAAACGTGTTTGCTTATTTTTTTCTTTAAGCAATGGCTTTTTTTCTGGCCACTCTTCTGTAAAGCCCAGCTCTGTGGAGTGTACAGCTTAAAGTGGTCCTTTGGACAGATACTCCCATCTCGGCTGTGGAGCTTTGCAGTTCCTTCAGGGTTATCTTTGGTCTCTTTGTTGCCTCTGATTAATGCCCTCCTTGCCTGGTCCGTGAGTTTTGGTGGCAGCCCTCTCTTGGCAGGTTTGTTGTAGTGCCATATTCTTTCCATGTTTTAATAATGCATTTAATGGTGCTCCGTGGGATGTTCAGAGTTTCTGATATATTTTTATAACCCAACCCTGATCTGTACTTCTCCACAACTTTGTCCCTGACCTGTTTGGAGAGCTCCTAGGTCTTCATGGTGCCCCTTGCTTAGTGGTGTTGCAGACTCTGGGGCCTTTCAGAACAGGTGTATATATACTGAGATCATGTGACACTTAGATTGCACACAGGTGGACTTTATTTAACTAATTATGTGACTTCTGAAGGTAATTGGTTGCACCAGATCTTATTTAGGGGATTCATAGCAAAGGGGGTGAATACATATGCACGCACCACTTTTCCGTTATTTATTTTGTAGCTTTTTTTTTACACGTTATTTTTTCATTTCACTTCACCAATTTGGACTATTTTGTGTATGTCCATTACATGAAATCCAAATAAAAATCCATTTAAATTACAGGTTGTAATGCAACAAAATAGGAAAAATGCCAAGGGGGATGAATACTTTTGCAAGGCACTGTAGCTACTGAAAGTGAAGAATACAATAGTTCCTTCCTGTGCAAAT